TCCCGACCCATCTCACCAGGACCGCACCTTCTTAGGGTTCATTCTGGGAGACACAAAGCTCAAGGTTGCCCCTCCGATGACCAACAGGACAGTGTAACCTGGTCCCAGAGTCCCCCCATCCCCCTCCTCATTCTCTTCCACTTACTGTCATGAGTCCGGGTGTTTAACAGAAATATGTCCCAGGCTAATATTTCAGCAGACATGACTGACCTCTATGCTCTTTTCCTTAGGTAATCCATGAAGAACTGTGCCTGGCATATATTACACAGTCAAGAAATCTTAGAGAGTAGCTAGCATAATGGTATATGCATCTTCGAAGGGGCCTTCTTCATTCAAGGGACTAAATGTGAATTGTTAGCATTTTAAGAAATAGGTCAGGTCAGTCAGATGAAATTCCAGGCAAGAGGGCCTATTCATTTTCCTCCAATAAACATAACAGAGGCTGACTCTGAATCTATCATTTTCTACCAGATGCAAAGCTAATGGTATGCTTTCTATTTTACCTATCATTTTCTTTTTAACTCTTCTTAAAATAAATAAATAAACTCCTTATTCCATTATTCTACTTCTTTGTTTTGCATTTTAACCAGTTTTGACTTATTCCTGGGTCATTTAAGGAAACTGGCTGATCCCTAGGTCCCCTTCACAGTGAAAAAATAAAAACAAAAAGAATTAAAAAAAAAAAAAACCTGACTCTAGTTTTCGATAACACCATCTGAGTCCAGTTAGTTATTTCAGCACCCTCATGGATAACGAAAATCCTGTGAGCTGAGCTCCTGAACTGTACTGCAAATGATAGAGCATCAAACTTGTACAAATGTGCTAAAATCCTCCTGTGAAGGCTCATCTCCTGAGCTATCAAATGGGTATGCCAAGGTCTATTAATTTAAATCTAATGGAAGGAATCATAAAAGCACAGTGGGTATATTGGATTTGGGGAAAACATATCCATAGCTTCTTAACAAAATTTTGCACATTGCTATAGCCACGCTCACCCACATTTTCCGACATCATTATGATGACCGGCTTAACCCAATAAAAACCTTCCTTTTTACAAATGCCATCCTTTTCACAGATGTCTCCATGGGATTGTGAGAGACAGTAAGTGACAAAAAGCTGTTCTGGAACAAATAAAAGTAAGCAATGCATATCCACCAACCCCTTAAAGATTTAAATATATTCTTCAGTGTGTAGGGCCCCCAGAGCTAAAGCACTTGAACATCATTTGGTTCAATAATTGTTACAACAACCTCAAGAGCAATCAGTCCTACCGCCACTTCTTCTCATTGAAAAAAAAAAGAAAAAGAAAAATCCTTCTTCCTGCCCTATCCAAGTGGGTCACTGCTGCTTTTCTCTTTGCTCAGCCTTTCCTGCAGAGGTTTACCAAGTTCTGATGTGGTTCACTGCATATTTTAAGTGCTGGAAGTGGTTATGGCCAAAGAAGGTCAGCGAACATGACTGTGAAGCCAGGACAGGGATGTGCTTGGGAAAGACAGAGGCTGGGATTGAAGTCACCTCTGGGGAGATGATGCAAGTTCACTGGAGACTTGCTGTTTATTGGTATTCATGCTTTTCTATGGCCTTTTTTTAATGTTCTAAACTAAGAGCAGTATTTTTAGCACCTTAAAGGTGATTTGCAATAATTTTAAATAAAAACGATCCAATCGTCCTATAAACAGTAGAACTGCCATCTTCTATAAATAGAACTGGCAAGCATTTCATCAGTCTTAAAAATATCAGCTCCTTTAATCAAGCTCCCACCAACCTCCCACCAATGCCTCCCTTTCCTTTTCAGAATTCCTTGAAGCAGTAGTCCAGGCTCCAGGAGAACCCAAGGGACCCGTGCTAATGCTAAAGACACCAGGAAGAAGCCGTCCTGTGGACACACACAAGGCTCACTGTTTTCCATGTACTTGATAGATGCTGCAATATTAGTTTTCTTTTAGTCTTCATGACTTGTAAAATAAAGTAAGAGTACTAGAATTTTAGATAATAGACAAAATGACAAAACTTGAACCATAGGCAAGATCTTAAATGTCAAGACACCTAGATTACTCTATTTTCGTGAGCACAAGACAGGTAAGAGTTGTCTTAACAAAGCTGGAAGTGGATATTATCAGAGCTTTCCTATATAATGAGCTTCTAGAAAAAGAGGAGGAAGTGAAGTACTGGATATTCTGATGCTTGATCAGATTTTACCATCTATAATACAACCCCTGCTTATGGAAGTCCTCAACTTCAGCTCCGAGCAATTCTCCAGAAAATTATTTCTACCCTCTCACTGTCTGCATGGACATATGGACAGTCAATAGAACTCTAAAATACAAAATGACTTCTATCAATGCCTTATTATATTGTTGAGATGCTTGGAAAATAATCAAAGATTAAGAATCCCTGGTTCCCTGCATGTGCTCCAGCCATTCTTATCATGGTAGAACAATTTAAATCTATACATATTCCTTTATGTATATACCTGTAAGGCAGTGACTGCTAGCTGTCTACAACTAACCATTCTTCCCATCCTCCACAGTAAGAGAACCTTGATTCTCAGCCAGGCATAATTCTACCGGGAACAAAAATTGTATCTGCAGCCTCCCTTGTCAAGTGTGGCCCCGTGACTAAGCTCTGGTCAGTACTACATCACATAAGTGTGTGGTATTTCTGCGAAGGATCCATAAAAGTGAGGGAATACCTTCTGCCACCAAGAACGTGGATTTTATAACTGGCAATCCAGTAGCTATCTTAGACAACAAGGTAACCAACCTTGAGGATAGACGCCAAATGATGATAATGGCAGGGCTAGAAGACATAAGACAAGTCCCTAATGATACCCTGAGAGCTACCATACCACCCCTCATCTACCTATCCCAGATTCCTTTCCATCAAAGTGGAATAGGCATCTATCTTGCCAAGTCTCTTATAACCAGGAATTAGCTGATTATAATTCAGTTCAGTTGGTTTATGGCAACTGAACAAAATAGTCACTGATATGTCTATCATAAAGGCCAATGAGCATGCCTGCTCTGAGACAAGAAATTCAACTTCCTCTGCAGAAATTCCTCCATTCATCTAAAGATGATGTAGCCAAACAGACCCCATCAGAAAATACAACCCTAGCATCCTTCCCTCAAGAGCAAAGGCTTTAGATCAGCTCTGCCCTTGCACATTCTCACTAGCCCTAACGTCCTATCACTCCAGGTGCCTCACTGAAAGCATACTGGGTTTATTATGAAGCCCATTCTTAATCAGAGACTGGACAGAGGTCACTAACTTCATTGCTTGTGTCCAAAACCAAATAAGTCCCTGCAGTATAGCCACTGCCTTACTACACAAAATACACAAAGTCCTTTTGTTTAATAACTGTAATCAATAATAAATTATATGAAGCATAACAGTAAGTTGGAAGATGCTATGTAGTTTGAGGTTTGGTGGAGTTTTTTTGTTTTTGTTTTTGAGTTGGAGTCTGGCTCTGTCACCCAGGCCGGAGTGCAATGGCACACTCACAGCTACTGCAGTCTTGACCTCCTGGACCAGGCGATCCTTCCGCCTCCTGAGTAGCTGGGACTACAGGCATGTACCACCATGCCCATAATTTTTTTATTTTTATTTTTGTAGAGACACAGTCTCATTATGTTACCTAGACTAGTCTCAAACTCCTGGGCTCATGCAATCCTGACTCGGCCTCCTAAAGTGCTAGGATTACAGGTACGAACCACTGTGCCCGGCCTTATCTAGTTTTATGAGTACTAGTAAGTATACTAGGATCCTAAATACAAAGCAATACTAACAATAGCAATAACAATAAATATCACCTACTGTTCAATGTCATACACCTGCTTTTGTACTATTTGGCTAGTGCTCTGCTCATATGTATTATTTGAAATTTGATATGTTTGATAAATTTGAAATAAATAGTACCCCTATGTCACAGATGAAGAAACTGAGGCTGTGAGAGGTTAAATAAAGTGGCTAACACAGTGCACCAAGTTCATGGCAGTGATCACAGCTAAACACAGAATTGTCTATAAGCTTAAAAGTATTTTAGCTATACAATTCTGTCTCTCAAGATATTAGATAAAATAATCTTAAGAGAATACATTCCTCTTTTCAGATCTGCAATGAAACATTCTAAGACTACCTCTAGTTTATATTAACACGAGTATTTCTTAAAACAAAGAAAAACAAAAAGCCAACAAAAAAATTGATAGAATTTGTCAACAATTGGTAAATAAAACTGGAACACAAATGAAACAAATTCCAAATGTGGTTTTCCTTAATTTCACCTTCTGCTCACAGTTTTATTTCAGGGTAACCTATATATTTCCACCCAAGGGTCATTATGCACCTTTCAATCCTTAAACATCAAAACTAAAAAGAAACACCTATAATGACATGCTCATGGGTAATTACATCTCTGTGTGCCACTCCTTTTGAAACAGGCCTGATTTATTTTCCACCGCCTTTATTGAGATTCCTCTTCAATAGAAATAAAAAACACGGAAAGAAATCAAGCCCTTCACGCATTCCTTGACTACATCAAGCATTTTAGCCAAGAGTCAAACAATAAATGCATGAAAAACATAGAGAAGAGATCAATCTTTCTGTTAAATATAAGATACATGTATACACATATCTATTTGTGCATGTAAGAGTGAAGGGGTATGTCTATTTAAGGATATATACTGAAAAACCTAATAATTACATTAAAAATTTATCATTAGAATAAGTAGTATTTTCTCCGGCTGCTTGAAAGCTAAAGAACTAAAATATTCCTTTAACAAAGTCAAACAGAAGGTTAGAGCTCCCTCTTTCTACTTATTGAAGAAATATACCAAAACTCCTCTCCCAGGAGACCAAAGTTATGAAGCTGACGGAGAGCCCTCCTACCCCTGCAGTGTTCTCTCTGCCTCTGAACACATGCTGTGTTTTTAGGGTCCAGTTACCGGTCGCTCATTATTCATAGGTGAAACAACTGCACTTTTAAAAGTAGAAATACTCACAGAGCCATTTCAAACTGTTCCAGCCACTTCTTCTTTAAATCTTTTGTTTTACAATAAAATTCGAGCCCATTTTGTCCTTGAATATGGATGAGGTAGAAGCCATAAGACCACTGTTAAAAGTAACAGTCTTTGGGTTAATATGTATCACTCACGAATAACATCACGTTTCTAAATTCACTAAAACACTACCATAGTTATCCCTAAACCTCTCATATCATTATCAAGGTTCAAACTAAACAAGCTTATTGTAGTCAACTTCATATCCGTAAAATTTCTGTGCCACATGCATTTTACTATCTTGATCATTAGGGCATTTGAAATGATCAGATCAGCTGTGGCAAGGACACAAAGGCATGCATGTACTCAGTCTCTAGAAACAAAGAAGCCTCGATAAGCCCCATCTCAGGTTAATGTATTAGCATGCCTTTCCTGAATATTCAGAGTTAGGAGTAACCTAGAGCTATTAGATTCCAAACGGTCACCTTTTTGTTTTCTTTATCCGTTGTAGGATTGTTGGCTATCTTGTACTGCTGAAGGTCTATTATTTCCTTCATCTCATAGTTATCACCTTTCCTTTTACATACGATCACAGCCAAATCAAATAAGAAAATATGCCTGTGAAAAAGAGAGAGAGGAATTGATCATATATGGTATAGAAGCATGTGTATTGACTTTTACTGGTAAGATTTAATTAAACCAACCAAATGTTTTTTCTTAACCTTAAAGACAAGAGACAGTGTTGTACACTGAAAAGAATGAGTGATTTGAGGTTCTAAGAGCTGTGTGCATCCTGCACTGCCCTTAAGCATGTAAATGGACTTTCTGTACCTTACCTCAGTTTCCTATTTTAAAATGAGCAAAATGGTTTGGTGGGGTGGGGGGCTCATGCTTATAATCCCAGCACTTTGGGAGGCTGAGGCAGGAGGAATGCTTGAACCCAGGAGTTTCGAGATCAACCTGGAAAACACAGCAAGAACTTGTCTCCACAAAAAAAATTTTAAAAATTAGCCAGGTATAGTGGTACACACCTGTAGTGCCAGCTACTCAGGAGGAAGGGTCACCTGAGCCGAGGATGTTGAGGCTGTGGTGAGCCATAATCATGCCACTGCATTCCAGCCTGGATGACAGAGTGAGACCCTGACTCCAAAAAGGTAAGGGACAAAATCATAATAAGAGCAAATGTACATTGCAGAGTTGCTGAAAAGGCCAATTGAGATAAGCCATAAAGCTTGTTCAAAAGCAATTACCATCTCCTTAAATTAAAAGCCAAACAAATATAGAATAATAAGAATGACAAGAATCGCAGGTAGCTCCTGAAGTTACTAGAAAACAGCCAGAATGCCTTGAGCAGTACTGCTCATCCCTTTCACAAACATAACTCAGTTTTAATCCCCAGGACTGCCTGCTGGGTAGGTACTAATATCATCTTCATTCTCCTGGGGAGGAAATCAGAGGCTTACAGAAGTTAGAGAATTTGCTCAAGGTCAAGTTAGAGAATTTGCTCAAAGTCAGGTTAGAGAATTTTGTCAAAGTCTCACTGCTGATGAGGGGCAGAGCAGAATTCACAAACAGGTCTAATGTTGGAGCCTGTGCTTTGACCCTCTCTGTTGTTTCTCGTGACTTCATGGACCACCTAGAACACAACCTGAAGGGTATATGAGCAAAATGTAAACTAGAAAAGTAACGGTGAAACATCTGTGTTAATACACCTTTTTTCTTATTTTAAAAAATGTAATTTGGGAAAGAAAATAAACCCTATCATCCAACGCCAATACTTATATGTTTCATAAACACTCGGTGGTTAACATGTGTGCATTTTTTTAGACGATAACAATGATACATTCACAGAGCCCTAACACTGGCATCATTTTTAATGTCTATTTCTCCCAGAGAGATTTAAAGGATAGGCATTTCCCTGGAGCCTCCCGTGGAGCTCAGTATCGAGGCAGAGGCAAGAGCTGATGCTGCCCCCTGCTGGCTGATCTTCTCTTCTCCAGGTAGTCCAGAAAATAGCCATTTCAGTCACAAAAACACCCATTTGATAGACACATATATGCATAACTAAGAGCTCCAAGCCAAACTTACTAATATTCAAGGACAGCACCTGCCAATTTCCCTTGAGAAAATATCACTGAATGATACCTCATCTTCTTTCTTAAGGCATTTTTCTATTATTTTTAGTTATTTTAAAATACAGTCCAAAAAAATCAGTTACGTTTTTATGGTAGTTATCTATTGTTACTTTATCTCTGTTCTCATTTTAAACATGTGCTTCTATGTAGCTTATCTTCTGAGTCTGTCGTTTCCTTCTTAATAACATACTAATTACTTATTTTGAAAATAAGAATTGCTCTTTTTTCTTACCTCTCTTGTTTTGTATGCTTGTCTAGAGTGGTTATTCGAATTTCACCATCTCCCTGAGGTCGTCCAAAGAGCAAAACCGGTTGGTTCTAAAATACAAAATGTACACATCTGAGTTTTTAAGAATCACATAAAATCCGAAACAAATGTCAGCAAAGACATTAGCTAAGGACAACTACCTTATTACACAACAAATTTTATCAGTTTTACATTTTTTAAGCACACTTATTCAAAAAGGTTCAGGTCTACGTGATACACTAAACAGTCTGTCCTTTGTAATCCCAGGGGTTATATCAAGGTCATTAATTAATTTTACTTATAATCTTAAAAGGGGAAGTAAGCCATGATAAGAGAGAACTGGAAGGCTCCAAGTCACAAGAAAGTTCGCAACTGATATTTGTTGAGCATCTAGTGTGTGCCAGCCACTAGCACAGATGGCAAAATAACACATACCCTGGCAGCATGGAGCATACTGCCCAGTAGGGGAACAAATGTTCCCAGATGCATATCATTACAATTGGATTTAGCAACGATATATTGGACTTGACTCCAAAGGCACAAGAAACAAAAGATGGATCAGGTGGACTTCATCAAAACTAAAAAAAGCTTTCGTGCATCAAGGACACCATCAGATAAGTAAAAAGGCCACCCACAGAAGAAAGTATTTGTGAACCCTATGAATGATAAGGAATTGACATGCAGGAAATGCAGGTCATTGATATGCAGAACTCCTGCATGACAAACACCAAACCAACTTGACTCAAAAATGGGCAAAGCCCTTAAAACGACATTTCTCCAGAGAAGATACACACAAAAAACTAGGGGAGCAAACGCACATCTTGAATACAATTGAATCTTAAAAAACAATAGCAAGAACCTGGAAACAACCATGCTGCCCATCAAAAGAGGACTGGATTAAAAAAATGTGGTACATATACACGATGGAATACTACGCAGCCATAAAAAAGAACAAAATCATGAATTTCGCTGCAACCTGGATGGAACTAGAGTCTATAATACTGAGTGACCTCTCACAAAAACAAAAATCCGAATATCACATGTTCTCACTCATATAATGGACCTTGAACATCCAATGCAATACTATGAGAAAATGACGGATGGTACTGGGAAACTATGGGGGGGAGGGGGATGGGATTAACAGTAGCAAATATCTGTCGGGGGATGGGAAAACACTTCTTATCTACAGGGTGCCTGAATGAAACGTCATTGTACACCTACCCTTAACTGTACCCCACAAAACCATAATAAAAAATACTGATTAATGAAAAAAAAAAAATATGGAAAATCGTGACATGTTTGGGAAAGAGAGTGAATTGGAAAATCAGCATTTTGGAACTGCGACGTCACGAAGTGATGATGGGGGGGCCACTGTGTCTGGCGGGGTGGCCACTAATGGTGTCCTGAAATGGACATGGGGCCACATGAGTGAGAAGGAAGAGACAGTCTCACGATGTTTCAGAGAAAGCAGCAATGAAGCTGCCCGACCACAGATGTATCTCAGATCCACCCATCTCTATAGGCCACGCCCACAGGCTCATCCAGGCCCTATCTTCTCTTAAAGACACATGAACAACTGCTGATGGGTCTGCTTGCTCACAGGGTCTTGTTGAAATGTCAGTCAGACTGGACAGTCCCCACAGAAGCCTCTTGCTAGTTTCCCACTGCGGTCACAGTGACATCCCAACTCAGCACCCTGGCTTCCCAGGCTGGGTTACACAGCTGCCCTGTCCGCCCCTCGCATCCCAGAGCCCACTCTCCTTCCTTCTGCTCTGCATTCCAGCCACTCTTACCTTCTTGGATACACCTGGCTTGTGCCCGTCTCTGGGCATGTCACTGGCTGTGATTTTTGCTCAGATCACTTTCCCCTAGACCTTTGCATGGCCGGCTTCTTCTAATCTTTTAGGTCTCGGTTCAAAAGACTCAAAAGAACTTTTTCTAAGCAGGTTAGCTAAACGAAGACTCCCTTTATTATCCTCAGTGACAGTACCCAGTTCACAGCGCCAATTTCAATATGGCGTTTTGAACGCTTTTTTTTTTTTTTCCCCACTGTTTCTTCAATCATGAGACCATGTGGTTCCTAGTTACAGTCCTAGTCCCAAGCGAAGTGTCTGGCCCATAGCAGTCACTCAGTAAATACATGCAAAATGAAGAAATGAATGGGAGTCAGCTGTGAATATGTACCAGGATGAGGGAAAGAGAAGAAATGAATGGAGTCCCTCATTAGAATTCCCACTGCAGGAGAGCAGGCAGAGTGTGACCAAGATGAGAGGGACAAACTTCGGCAGAATGTCCCTGGACAGGAACCGTCACAGCAACCCCCAGACATCCACGAGAATGCTGCCAGAGGGATCAGAAAAACCCTCCAACAACAGAAACTTGAAGGTAAACTATCTTTTTTCCAACAACAACTCCTAGAATGTCCCCCAGCGTGAGGGTAAGGGGAAGCCGGATGGAAGGATAATTACATACCAGATTTTCTATAGATAGCTGAAACTGTTTAATTTCACGAAGGGTCTCATTATCCCTTTTCACTTCATTCACATATTGTGCCAAGTCCTGGAGAATAGAGAGACGGGTACAGAAAGAAGAAGCACTGAGATTAGAGAAGAGACGTGAGCTGCTTGGAAAGAAAACACATCATTAATTCCGCTCGTGGTAAAAGTAACCACCGTAACTTCTCAATGGCAATAAAATGAACGCCCAGTCAATCAAAGCTGCATCTGTAAGGCAGTTTCAAAACGTCTGGAGGACAGCTGGAGAGACTGAAGAGCTGTCATTTCCCACATTCACCAAGAAGGGTCAGGATGCTGTTGCCTTAAGAAAATACAAAAATTTTTTTAAATGCTGCCATGGAGCAGTAAAAAGGAACCTAGGTCTGCAGAATGTCAATTCCAAGCACGGGTAATTACTGACCTGGAGAGAATTATGTTTTTACACAGGTTAGAATAAGGGCAGGAACGAAGGATTGGTGGAGAGAAAATGTAACTAAAACTCAGACAATGAATCCAGCAAGACTGTTTGCTGCAACCAGTGAATGCCTTCTCAGTTCCTGACAGCATTCAGTCAAGGAAGCCGGTTCCATTTTAAAGAGTTAATAAAGGAGAAATAAAAGGCAGGTAAGGAACTAAACAGCACAAAGTGCTAGAACTAAATTTAATTCATGAATTAAAGCGAACAAAAACTGCCACTGTGTCTTTCCATGTGGCTTCACCTATTTTAAACTGTCTTTTCTCGTATTTGAGGAAACATTAGCTAATCTTTCCATACTGTAACTGGCTATTTTTGTGCCATGTGTTCCAGATTTCACTGTTTTCTGAGCTCTTTTTCTTTTTTCTCTACCCTCTTAAATTCATCTGCAACAGTAAAGAACAGAACTCTTCAAAAAGCAGTTCCCAGGTTTGTTCTAAATGGAAGTCTGACTTTTTGTAGGATGTATCCATACACAACTGCTGAAAAAATTGGAAACTTTGGTTTGACTTTTTTTTTTTTATAATCATAAATAACCATGTGATGTTTCCTGGTTGTAGCCTAAAATGAGCTGCACAGCAAAGCTAACACAAATTGGTACAGACGCACAGTTAAATAATTATGCATTGCTCTGAGCAGGGTCACCTTGCCATTTTGTTTTTAAGAGCAAATATTTGCTTATGTTTTAAGCCATGAGCAAAGATTTCTTTCAAAGTCGCTTTTATTAAGCATAATGTGAAAATTGAGCTTTTGTTTTCCCTCGATATGTTCAAAACATTTGCCTGTGTCTACTTGTAGTCCTGGGTTTTCAGATTTCTCTGAGAACAGAAACCCCAACTGAAATTCACTTGTACTGATGCAAAGCCGCCCCGAGGGTAACCTGGCAGGTATCCTCATAAGAGAAGAGTCATGCAGGTTCTGCAGTCTGCAGCTGACCCACTGCTTACCCAAGCCAAGAGTGTTCTACTGGCAACCGTGAAAAGAACGTGAAATAAAATCATCACATTAAACGACTCCTGGTAGTCATGAAAGTCATCAAACTTCAGTTATTTGAACATATCTCTTAGTTTTATGTGTTTTTGTCTAATAATTAAATCCATGTGAGGACATCTAGTACAGTAAAAAATATCCAGCTCTCCCCACCAACAACAAATGCGTATTCTAATATTTTAGCCTATCATATACTTGTATTAGCAGTTTGAATTCTATTATTTTTAGGTAAGAACAGGAAACATGAACAAGTCCCTGGCACAGCTGCCTTACCTTCATTGCATCAAGAGCCAGCTTCAGATTTGCCTTCTCAATGGAATCAGTGGTGTGTTTGACCAGTTCCTAATTGGAAGAGATATTTTAGTGCAACTTTCATTGATTTAAAACTAAGATATAATAAAGAATACACTTTCACATAAGCCATTGTCATTTTCTATCATGTGATCAATCTGATGCAACTAGGCCATTTTTATCAAAAATCTGAAACCGTAAGACCAACTAGACACCAAAAGAACATGGGACACACGTGGAAATATCTACCTTTTCAAAGTTCTATCTGTATTCCGTCCCCACCATGACACGGACACTGCTTCCCAAATGTTATGAAGATTCCAGAACGGTTAACTACATGGGTACTTTTTACTTATTATCACACTGGCTTCTCCATCACTCTTTGAGTCTCTGGACCCCAGTATCTCTCTCCTCTCGTTTCAGGGACACCAGGATGTCCTGTTTGTTATTGCTGTTAGTGTTGTGTTTGTGCATCCTACAGTTCTGCCTAATTCTCAGTCTTTCAGTTTCTTTTTTCTTTACCTGCCCTTTGAAATGTTACTGTCCCCTAGATTTTTCATTCTAGTCCCTTTCATTCTTATTTCACACACTCTACAAATTCTGTCACAACCACTGTCACAACGTCAATTTTCACCTAATGGGGTCATCACTCACACACGTGCTCAACCCAGAACCCAGGCCTGAGTCCCTGCCACAGACATCCAACTAAATAGTTCTACCTGGGTATCTCACGAGCTCCTCAAATCCAACATGCCCTAAACGTCATTGATTTATTCCCATCTTCACCTAGAGCCCTTGATTCTGCTTGCGTTTTATTAAATGATGGTGCTTGCATCAATGTCACCACTTGAACTAAAACTTGAAGGTGTCCTAGACTCCTCCCTCTTCCTCCCTATGTCCTAGCAATGTTAATGCTGATCCTGCCCGTGAAGCCATCCTCACTGCCACTACTTGGGTTCAGGTCCTTGCCCTTTTTCAAACAGGTACTTATAATAATGGACTTCTGATCAGTCTTCTGACTTGTAGTCTCTTCTTACTACAGTCTATTCACTCTATTAACATCAGAGCTGGCTTTCTAAAATGCAAGTCAGATCTTGTCTCTACCCTACTTAGACTTCTGCAATGCCCAACACAAGCCTCAGGTTGTCCCCCACACCTCTTAGGCATCTCATAATCTGAATTCTGCAAACCTCTCTGAATCGCTCTCTCTGTTCCACCCAAACAGCCTATATTCTACTCATACTAAATTAACTGCAATTTTCAAAATGAGACTCCATTAGAAATGCTGTTTTTTCTCTTTAGAAGTTATTCTCCTCTGATCCACCTGTCAAACTCTCACTCTTCCTTCAAAGTCCAACTCAAGAATCACTTCTCTGGGAAGCCTTCCATGGCAGATGCCACTGCTTGGGTTCCCAGTCTTCTTAGGCTTAATAATTTAGGTTTTTGTCTGTACCCACCTTTCATATTGTGTTATGCCTAACAGCTTAAATTCCCTTCTCAACAGTGAGCTTTATTAGTGTAGGGCCTGTCTTACATTGTGAGTGCCTAAGACTGTGTTTGGCACAGGAAATTCACTCAAAAATCTCTAATGAACCCAATACCACTTGCGTTTCTGCTATAAACAGGACTTATAGAGACTGTAAAGAGTGATAAATCTATAAAGTCCATTCTTTTATTCCCATTTTTGCTTTTACTTTATTAAATGAAAATAAAAAATCATTCTTAAAGTTTCCAATCCTCCACTTTAAAAAATTCTAATTGTATAAATCTGTCACTTCAAATCATCAAATATGTCAAGTGACAAATATAAGGATATTTGTTCAACAAATTTCTAGACACCAGACAAATAAATTTTATTCTATACTATTTTCAGATGGTAAAACATCTTTAAAATTTGTATCTGTGTGTAGTGTCCAAAATGAAATTTCTCTATTTTAAAAAGTCATCACGAGACTAAACATACTCTTGAAATTCGAAATACAGAACAACTCAACAGAAATCAGGGGGAAAGTTCACTGAATTTTAAAACAGTATAATTGTATTTTATACATTTATAAGTCTGTGTAAAACCCTAAGAGGACCAAAAAACATATTTCTTAAAAATTGTACCTTCTAAATTTTTCAATCAATATTTGACTATACTAAAGTTATGAAATAAATTATCTTACTTTGGACATGTTTTTAGTTCCAGGATGCCTTGGAAACTGACTGCCTGAGTCTCCCTTATTATTTTTTCATCAAATCCAATTTGATTAAGTTGCTTTGAGTTTAGGTCTCATAAATGTTTTAATGCATTTTTAAGGAATAATCAGGGTTTGAATTTCTCTGATTTCTCAGTAGAACAAAAATAGAGATGACTAATAATTTTGCAGCTACAGTTCAAGAAATTTAATATACAAGATGTACAAAGCACAGCAGACTCTAAATTATATTTCACATACAGGTAGTAGATCTTTTTAAAATGACATTTCACAAGCATCAGCAGAGTTGACAGACTAATACAGTAAGACATTTCTTTGGCGCGAAACTAATGAGTCTCCTGGTATAGCTATCAAATTAAATTTATAAGACTCTCCACCCTCATTAGAAGACCTAACCGTGGAAACCATAAGCTTTGTGGGTTATAACAAGAATCACTTCAAAATAAATGTAGTCTCATTATAATTGAGTACTGCAGAAAGCAATACGAAATGTGACACAATCCTCTTTCGCTTACTATTAAAAGGCAAAAGGTCTAATATGATTAATCTGCCACAATTCAAATGCATCGCAACACTGACATGCTAATAAAGGATTACTGATAACCACAGAAGACTTGGTTGAAGGAATATTTTTATTTGTGTTGCCTTGTTTTTTAATTTTTTTTTAGCCAGCCCTATTTGAAGGTCACAAAATGTGACTTGTGGCAGACTCCAAACTGTCTTTGCCAGAAAAGAAGAAAAAAAAAGTCCAGCTGTTCTGTAATTTCCTCTTAGTTATAATAATACAAAATGTTGAGGGAAACAGCCCAAAATATGGAGTGTCTGCAGCATAGTTGATTCTTCATTAGTAAAATACAAAATGTTGAAAGAATAAGTGAACAGTAAACAAGAGTTTTAAGTTACATACCTGGAGGAGAAGGTGATACTTTAAAACACGCTGCATAGGAACCACAAGCAAGTCCCGAAGAGTAAATTTCCCATTATTTGCTCTTTTGGAGCATTCCTAACAAAATGATTTTTTTAAAACTTTGTTAGTTTTCTGAAGGGGAGTCATCAACATGAAAAGACGCAAAGGCCATAAGCAGAATAGTTATTACACAATAAATATTTCGCTATTTTCCTTAATAATTATTCTCTCTAAATAATAGTGTCTTCCGTTTAAAAAAAAAAAAATGTTGTAGTACTTTAATTCCCGATAGGAATCAAATAGCACTATTTTCTGTATGAAAATTATTTTCTCTGGTGCAAAACTGTGGTTCTTCAGGTCTTCCTCAACTTACCCTTATAGCTGCACCTTCCACCAATCTCTCCCAGCGGGCCATAGTCCAGGCTTCGAGAACACATCACTATACTCATAAAATCAGCCATGAGCCTTCCCGCCCTCATGCCTTGGCTTATTCAGTTCTTGCCAACTGCTGTATGTCTCTTCCATCCTCCAGCAAAATTCATAATCCTCTTTAAAAACTATAATTCTAAAATCAGCCGGGTGTGGTAGTGCATGCCTGTAATTCCGGCTACTCAGAAGGCTGAGGCGGATCACCAGAGCCCAGCAGGTTGAGGCTGTGGTGGCCAGGAGTGGCCACTGCACTCCAGTCTGGGCAACCGAGTGAGACTCCAACTCAAAAAAGAAAAAACAAAAAAACTATAATTCTAGGCCTTTAGTCATAATTTCAATCTAAATTGTATGTAAGCCCTCTCTGTGCCTTGTGGGTCTTTTAATTACTGTCGTACATGGTATCTTCCTCAACACATGGTGTCCTTTATGACTCAGAATTTAGTATTTGCTTATGAAATATTTATTGAAATGAATGAAATGGAATGTTTGACTCTGAGCTTTGCTGAAGCATAAACCTACAACTGGACTCAAAGTTTTTTAAAGCCTCAGATTGTATTTATTTTTTAATCTCATGCTCTCCTTTCTTAAAAGTGTACTTAAAAATAGTATTGACTTGTTCATTCTTTTGACAGTGACTATGGCTTTGAGGAAAGCACTTTGAGCTTGAAGTGCCAAAGCATGAATCTGAAGTCGAGTTTTGGCAACTCTTGGCTATGTGGCCTTGGACATGTCGCTTTTCTGGTTTTACTGTTCCACACATATCCGTAGCGTTGTTAAAAAAAAAAAAAAGTTGTCATACAAACATTATTAGTGAGCAACTTCATAAATCCAAAACTCTCACACAATCACACATCCCAGTCTAAGGACTTTTCCAGTTCACAGAAGGAGCTGTGCTTAAGAAAAGCCTCTTTTGCTCACAAGTCGGTTTCCCCTTTGCCCACACTTAGCTTTTCTGACACATCAAATGATATATTATCAGGAGCTATAAAGCAAACACTATTAACTCTAATGACCAGGGACTTAATGAGTGTGTTTGACTATAGATCTTAGGCAAAATGAGCTGCAGACACATCCTGACATGTTAGCTGTGTCTTATCAATTACTGGAGTTCATTAGAAGGACAACTCTCTTAGCTGGTTTCTTGCTTCTGCAGATTGTAGGGAGTTCTGGATCATGGGTTCTGTTTGAGACAGGAGGTTAAACTGTTCATGTTATTGTAATAAATGGGTCTTATCTCCCCAGCTGCATTTTAAGGTCCTTAGAATTGAGGTTGTAGCTTAGCTTTCCTATGTTATACCATCCTACCACAGCATGAGGAACAGAAATGATATACATCTAACATTCACTATGTTATAGAAGTTAGTCTAAAATTGTTGAGGAAAACATTAGTTTGTTTAAGTTCTAAATTACAGGCTCAGGAAGCAAAGAAACCATCATTGCCGGCACTAGCTACAACTGGGGGCTGGCAACTGAGGTATAAAATGCTTATTCGTATTGAAAGTAAATAACAGAAATGATTCTTCCAAAACATCCAGTCGCTTACTTGGCCTCAAGTCAATTATAATTGAAAGGAAAATAAAAAGACTTTATCTCCCTCCACTGGATGTTACCTTGGTTTCAAAGTAGAGAAGAAAAAGAGAAAAAAAATAAATAAGAACAAAAAATAACTACAAACCAGAGGACACCAAGAATATGGCAGCTTTCCCTTCATCATGCTGGGATTGCAGCAGGAAGTTCCAGCTGAGTATTTGGTGGAATGTTACATTATGTATCTGATTAAATACTTCCAGATCAGGTCTGCTGTCAGAGGTACTGGCCTTTAAGCTGAGAAGACAATCTGCAGCACCTTACCCTGTGCTTTCCTTTCTTTCTTCTTTCTTTTTTTTTTTTTTTGAGTTGGAGTCTCACTCCATTGCCCAGGCTAGAGTGCAGTGGCACACTCATGGCCACCCCAGCGTTGACAGGCTGGGCTCTAGCAATACTTCTGCCTCAATCTTCCAAGGAGCCGGAACTACAGGTGTGTGCTACCACACCCAGCTAATTTTTTATTTACTGTAGAGATGAGGTCTCACCAAGTTTCCCGGGCTGGTCTCGAACCTGCAGGCTCAGGCAATCCACTCGCCTTGGCCTCCCAAAATGCTGGGATTACAAACTGAGCCATTGAGCCCAGTCCACCCTGTGCCTTTCAAACTCAGCCTGATGTCCCCTCTTTCTCTAAGACTAACAGTGACTGCAGAAACCATGTGCTTAGAATCCCAGAGCATGGTCATCGGGCAGAACTTTGACAGTGACTCTGAAAGAATACTGAGAATATAATGGTGGTGTGATTAACAACTTGCTGACTCCTATCTGAAACCACAACTGTACATCTTTATTTTAAAAAAGGAAACAAAACTGCTTTAATGGTAGCTCTGTTAGGAACTAGGTGTATGAGCTGTAAAGTGTTATTTTAACATCAAATATTAATTTGAGTCAAGGTGGCTTGCAGTTCTACACTTATAAAGCTCCTCCACAGACGAGCAGGAACCATTTGCACTAACGATGTTCCGAGGCTGTTATTTAGTGGTGACTCAAACTATCTCCAGCCTGAAGGTCAATATCATCAAGGGATACTAAGAGGTAAAAAAAAAAAAAATCTATAACATAGATGTGGCACAGTTATTTGAAGGCCCGTTAAGGTACAGACTTTCTAAGCAATAGTTTCACTTTGTGGGAGTTATGAGCTATGGAGTCATACCAAATAATCAAAACAACGAAGGGGTTCCTATTTGAAAATCGCCTACGTCTTCTTCCCCTGACCTCACTGCTCAACTGAAAAGAGCAGGAAAGGAATATTTAAAAGCCAAATAAGCCACACATAGTCATTTAAGAGTTCTACATATCTCTACCTGAAATTTTAAAAAATCCAATCACATGGATAAAATACTTAAGATGTTAATTCATATAACAATCAATTTTCAAAAGTTCTGAGAAAGTACAAACTCCTCTGATTAAAAAAAAAAAAATGATATATAAAAACCATGACTTAACATTCGTTTCCAAGACTTATTTTTTATTGTGACCATGTGTTGTGTTTATGCCAGCCCACTTGTCATTTCTCAAACTTTCCTGACTCTTCTGGTCAAGATATGTCCATTCTTCCAGGATGCTCTCCATGGAATCTCATCTGTCAAAGCTCACCCCATTCTTTGGTGATCTAACTCAAATGCTGTCATTTCAGAACAATCCTCCCAGTCTACCCACACAGAAGTAGCTAGATTAAATCTTACAGAGTCCTGTCACATAGTGCTTCTCACATAATACTTCATCTAATGTTATTAGCATTTGTCTTTTCTTCCTTCTTATGGGTAGTTTATCTGCCCTTTTTATATATCTGTCCCTAAATGTCACATTTTTAGTAAACATTTTCAATCTACATATATACATACATTATCTAATATGTATCATATTCATATTACACCTCTTACTGCCTGGGAGATTTACTCATCTCTCTGAATTGCAGCTTTCTCATCAATAAGATGAGAAAATCCATTGTGTATGTCTCACACAGTCAGGAGGACCTAATGAGATAATGTATGTAAAACGCATGGCCATCATATTAGATTTTACTATTGCAGTTATTTCTACTATATTACTGTTTTATAGATTAAAATATTTTATAAAATTATATTTAGAATACACGGGAAAATGTACTGTTGTATTGATCATGAAGAGGAATATGTTGCTTGTAGGTTGATTTCACTTTATCTCGCAAACAACAAATAAGCAGGCACCTCTAATTTCAGTCTGACGTCTTCTTTTGTCTTAGAAATGTAGTCTAAACTCGAGATGGCTGACTCCACCCCACTGCAGTACTGCCCATAAATAACCAATCTGAAGGGGAAAAGGAAAGAGGAAGACATTTACAAAACATAAAGCAAGAAAGGATTGGAGGGAGAGAGAGGCAGAATCATCTCTTTGAAAACCACAGTTAGGGATCATCACAGCAGCAGTGGAAATTCTTTTTCATATACATGACATATACAGTCATGGGATGAGGGTCACTCGTGTTTACAGTAATGACTAATTTTTAGTTCCAAACTTCAAAGAGATAAATTTCATGTACATCTTTATAGCAGGTAGATTTTACAAACTGGCTTCATAACTTTTCATATAAATGACATCAACACATATGTATCTCAAAAACAAAATTTGAAAGTTCTCTTAAAGCTCTTACTAGAAATAAACTCCTTTTACTGCTTACTCACACTCAAAAAGAGTTTTATTTTCTACTACATTTTATTGCGACCACCACGCACAACTCCACTCACTAATAAACCTTCTACTCCTTGCTACTTTTTAATGAAGGAACATACATCATCTGAAAAGGAGGGAGACGGAGAGAACTGAACTGTGCTGGGTAGAAGATAACTCACACCGCATGGAATCTGAACCCACTTCAGGAAGGTACCTCTGTAGTAATACAAATATTTTGCAGAGGCTGGTTGATTTATTGTTTCCTCTTAACTCTTCACTGGAAAAAAACTAATATGATGTTAATGTTTATCTAAAAGCTAACCCAAAGCAATTATTTCGTGACTTCAAAGTCAGAGCTAAGTAAGAGAATTCTATTTTAAGTGAAATATCTTGATATTCAAATTCAGGTGAATTGATCCGGACAATTTTTTTTTCAAAATTAGAAAGGGAAACTGACTCTGACTGTGAATCTAACACTCCAAAATAGAGAATCATAAAACCGTAGAGTTTGAAGAAACATTAGGTACCAGCTAATCTCTACAAATGTTTAGAGATGGGGAATGGAGGCTCAGAGAGTTCAAAGGAGTTACTGAAGTTTACATCACTCAGTAATGACATGACCTATGAAAGACCCTTTCGAATGGCAACACAAAAGTCTGAGCACTATATGTATCCTATTATTCCCCCTTTTCTTTTTTTAAGTACACATCTAGAGCTCAAACTGCTACCCAGGGACTAACTGCCCTACGTTCTAATTACTGCTCAGGCAGGACTGTCATGAACAGTAGTCACAGCTATTTATTAGCCATCTGAATACTAACCATCACTATAATTACAAACAGGGACCCGCGGAAGTCAAAATTCAAAAGTTACCTTTCCTTGTAGCTAATAAAAACTTGATACAAGTTCTGGTCATTTTTATTTACAATGGAATCATGAATCTCTTGCATGAGGCTCCGATGAACTTTTACAAGTTCCTTAGAAAAGAAGACAATACAAAAGGAAAGTGGGAATCAGAACCAAACAATACATTCAAACCCAGAATCCCTCTTGTTCTAGACCTGCACTCAGGAGATGCTAAATGTTCTCAATATGCAAACTTGCTGCCACCAATAAAGGGAGGAGGAAAAGGATAGGGGAAGAAGAGGAAGGAGAGAAAGAGAAAAAGGGGAAGAGGGAAAAGTAGAAGGGTAGGAGTGGGAGAAGATGAGAGGAAGGGAGAGGAAGAGGTGGAGAGAGAGGGAGGCTAAGTGCATGGGAAGCAGTAATTTCAGATCCAACTCAAAATGCCAGTGTCCTGTGAAAAAAAGAAATTATCTCACTTGCTATTAAAGGATAATTTATTTTCTGTGTAAAAATATGTATGGCTCCTTTTCATTTTATGATCACTGTAAATGTTTGAATAAAACTATCCAAGTGCCTAATGTTTTATTGACAGGATAAAGTAATGACTTGTGACCTTGTGACACAGAAATGTAGATTTGTACTTTGGTCAATTAGTGGTGTCCTGGTGCTAAGCTAACAATAATCAGACTAAATTACTTGGAATCAGACAACTAATAGAATAAATAAGGAGCAAATAAATTGCTCTAGACAGTTCACCAGAGCAACTCAAAAGTCAGAATTTCACATTTTTCCTGAGAAGCAAGTAATTTTTCAGTCAGGCAGTAACCATGTGTCATAGCCAGAAAAAGAGGACGTCTGAATCAAAGTGCCAATTCTCCCATTACCTCTTCCTGGGTACCTTGGAGCACACATTGACTCCACGGTATACTCCTTCCTTCGTAGGGTGGAAGTCAGACATGAATATGTGGGCCTGTTATTCTGTTGAGGAGCCTGGAAGGGTCAAAAGAAGGACTGGGAGATAGGCTCTAAGTTATAATGACCATACTTAAGTGGTTCAAGACTCCTATCTTCCTAAAATGTGCAGTTTGTTCTATGCTAAACCTCCATCTGATATTGTGACCATCTTCTTCCTCGTGTGTTATACATCAATGAGAATGTCTTCATTCGGCCAAAATCAGGACAAATGCCACAGCTTACCAGCAGGTGCTCACCCACACAGAATATAACAGATGCAAAGCATAGGAGGGCTTCAGGTAATACAAACAAGCCTGCACAAAATAGTGTATACACACGTGTGTGTGTGTGTGTGTGTGTGTGTGTGTGTGTGTGTGTGTGTGTGTGTGTGTACATACAGGGTTTATATATATACAAACCAAAGCAAGTTCTAGAGGTCTGAGAACTTGAATACTGCCTAGCATGACCTCACTTGCCACAGCATGTAGCTTGCTTCTTGACTTCTGGGTAAATATTGCTGTATGATTGTCAGATTCTGGTACGGTGCCCTGAAATTCAAAATGCTTACATAAATGTGAAAAAAAATCTCTTCACATTTCACCATTTAAATAGTCTGTTAAATTATACAGAAGCAGTCTATTTCAATTGAAAAGGTTGATACAATTGAAAGCAGAAAGCACCAAAGAGCAGAGGTCAGAAGCAGAGAAATGTAGGCAGCAGAGGAAACTGAGGTGGTCAGGACAGGGTCCATGAAACAAGGGCTTAAGGGCTGGGAGAGCAAGAGAGCAGGGAAGGGTGGGGCAGAAGGGGACTGCCCAGAAGACTAACAGATGGTAGCACCAAGGACCTTTGAGACTACCTCTCCACGGCAGCTAAGGACAATACATAAATCTCACTTATGCATTTGTGCTCTGCACACATGTTGACTGACTTTTGGTTGAAGACATGATGTATCAATTATTTAAATAAAATAAGGATATAAAAACAAATGAAGAAAAATACTTGCTTAGTCAAAATTCTTAAAGAATACAGAAGTGTGTTAAAATAGAGATCTGAAACCGACTAAGAAAATGAGGATTTTATAGAAGTGCACCACAATTTTAGCTAGCATATTTTTACTTACAGGAATGTTGATGAATACTGAATCAAATTCTGCTGCTGTCAGAAATCTTTTTAGTGGTGCCATGAAATACTACCAGGAAAGAAGACAGAAGTGATAATTAAGTGTAATTTATCCAAATCTATATAATAGTTTTTATCAACAAATATTTATTTAAAGTCAACTATTTATTGACATTATAAATACCAAAAAAAAGTAGAAATGATTTTCTCCATCTTAACGATTTTACACTTGAACAAAAATATAAAGACACAAATACAAGGCCATACATGTAAAACATAAAATAAAAGGTTTATACAATAAATGCTTCTAAAAGTAAGAAAGAAGAGAACGCTATTGGCTGAATGGCCAAACAGCAGCAACATTCTGAAGATATTTTTGAGGACTTACATAAGGCATCCCCCAAATGCTCTGTGGAGATGACAGCACTCTGAGATGAATTTATGAACTATTCATTGAGAATTTTAGCTCCTTGCTATTATACCTCTTTCACTCTTTCACTCGGTGCCTGTGCAGATAAAGGATTCTCCGGAAAGTCTAACCTCTCACTCCTTGGCTCCCAATAATCTTGTACTCCACCCTAACTCAGCTCCTAAATCTCACGGTCACACCCCACCTAGACCTTGTCATGGTCAACAATGCATGTGCTCCACAGCACTAGTTTCAAGCAACTGACTCTCTGCCCATGACCTCCTACCCTTACAGCGCATTCTCTCAAGCAATTCTTCGGCCTTTTTGGGTCTGCTAGTCCACTGACTCCCGCACTGCGCTCACATCCTCACGTTCCTCCTCATCCCATTTATGCTCCATGAATTGCTTCCCCGCATATGCCCCTACCCTCTCTTCTTCCATTGTGCTTTTCTGGAAAAAACAAAAACCCAGGTCAAATCCAGCATGCCACCTATTTTGTGCCTGCATTGGATGTTAAGCATGGACTAAACAAGGCCCCCAAACTCAAAGGAGTTTATAATGCTACACAGTCTGACTGTACTTCCCTAGTCAATTTCCTCTCCCATTCTCCTAAGCAACTCTTCCACACTTTCATCTCTTCTCCTAAACTCTTAATGTGAAAGTCACCAGAGGTGCTCTCAAACCTCTTGCCTAACAACACACAGTCCTCAGAGGGATCTCATTTAGTCCCACAGCCTTAATGCCATCATGCAGTGATAACGGCCTAATCTATATGTCAGTTCAACCTGTTCCCTTAATGCCAGACTCACACATCCAACACCCTCCTCACAGATCCCCTTGTTGAAGTCTCATGGCATCACAAGTTGAATACGTCCCAACATACGTATGATTCCCAAACTCTCCCTCCCCATCTCTGTCACCACCTTCACCACTCATACCAAAACCTCACCGTCATCCCTGACGCCTCTTTTTCTCACATCCTTTACCCAATCCAGCAAGCCCAGTTGGCTCTACTTTTAAAATTCATTCCAAATCTAACCACCCACACCACCATTTCTGCCCCTTTAATTACTACAATTTTCTGCTGATTCTTCTCCCAGTTTCCATCCTTGCCTCCCAAGAGCTGGAATGAGATATTACAGACTTAGATCACATCGTGTCCCTTCTGCTCCAAATGCTCCAGCTTCCCAGTGTCCCCATGTGACCTGGAGGCCCACCAGTTTGCTGACCTCACCACTCGCTCCCCTTCACTGGTTCTTCGCCAGTCACACTGGACTGCCGCTGTCCCTTGAAGCACACACTGAGCTCTTTCCCTCTGAGTGCCTTTTGCCCAGGAGTCATCTTCACTGGGATATGCACATGGCTCCACCCTCCCTCAACTCACTCAATTGTCTGCTTAATCTATCAGAGGCCTTCCGCCATCACTCCATGGACAATGCCATCAGCGCTCTTTCTCCCTATCATCTTCCCCCGCCTTGTTTTTTTTCCAGAGGACTTATCACTTATTTGCTTACTTCCATTCTTTTTTTTTTTTTATGAGTTGGAGTCTCACTCTGTCGCCCAGACTGGAGTGCAACGGCCGCTCCCAGCCACCGCAGCCTCGACCTGCTGGGCTCTGGTGATCCTTCTGCCTCAGCCTTCCAAGTAGCTGGAATGACAGGCGGGCGCTACCACGCCCGGCTAGCTTACTTCCATTCTAAACCATCTCATGAGAAAGAAAGTACCATGAGAAACAGTGTTGTGTTCACTACTGTATGCTCAGTCCCTAAAACAGTACCATCTGGGCACTAAGACATCAATAAATAGTTGTGGAATGATAAATCTGCCTTGAGATCTTTAATTACAAAGTGCTCCTGAAAATCAGAATACACGCACACATTCAGCAGAAACAGTGAGTCTAATATCCTAACTGTATTAGGCAGATTCAGACATCAGGAATAATACTAATGACTTACTTTTTCTATTGACTCCAAAGTTTCTGTATATTTTTCTTCAGTCTGCTTAATTTCTGCTAGGCAACAACTTCGTATGTCATTTTCTGGACATTTCTGCAGTGAGAATCATCAAAATAAAATTATTGAGTAAAATTCATATGTTGATCTATCTGGTAATATAAAGAGATCAAAAGCATTGCTGATTTTCTTAAACTTTCCACTATAATAAAACATAAGACATTTAACTGCATTGTGAAGTATCTTTGCTGTTTCTCTAAAATTTTGAACAACTTAAGTGAAAAAGTTTTAGATGATTAAAAATAAGCTTCCGAGTATAGACTATCTCTTTAAATTATATTTTCTTAAAATTTTTCTATGAGTTTGGAAACACCATATATGTTGTAACATCGTTTCCTCAACATACAGCACACTTCACAGGTACCATCAAAATAACTGCAAAAATAATAAAAAGGATATTTGGTAAGTAAAAACTTTCAAAATTTTTTTCAAACCTTAATATCGTTTGGAAAAAAAAATAAACATTTTTTTTAACCAAGTATTTAAGACTGGAGGTGGTATAGCATGGTACTAAAGTCAAAGATTCTGGAATACAACAGAATTGGGTTCAAGGACCAATTTGCCTGTTACTAGCTTTGCAACTGTGAACATACTACTAAAGGTTTCTGTAATTCAGTTTTCTCGTCTATAAAAGAGAGAATGCCAGCACTAACCCCAAGGAAGTGTAAATGAGATGAACAGCATAAAGAACTTAGCGCCCTGCCAAGTGCCCAAGAAGGGCCCTATCCATCTAAATTATCATCACTGTTCACCCTGTCAGCTGAGTGAACACTGACCTCGGGGCAGACACTGAAGCATTTGCTGGCACTCCAAGCAATTAACAAACATAGGATGTACAGATGATACTCTGTCACCTTAAAAATGCTCTGAAAAAGTTGCCACCAACAGCCTGTCAGTTCATGCAGTGGAGAAAGCACACTCTCATTACATTACCAAACACAGGCAGGTCACAAGTGTCCTTCTCACAGAAGCTCCTGGACAACCCAGCAGTCTTTTATTAAAGGCAGGAGCACAGCGAGAACTGAGTGCATTTGTCAAAGCACTGAAGAAACCTACATCACCACCCAGCTGATGAAGAAAAGTCTTTAGTGTAAAAGAAGGATGTATTGATAAAAACCCAAGACACTGCCTTTTTTTGTTTCAAATTATAGATAAGAAAATAATTCAAAGTAATCCTTTCTGCATAGTCTGGATACATTAATGGCAGATAAAGCTTTGAGGGCTCACATCGACTACGGCAATATCTGAAACTAAGTTTGCAAAACAGTTAAAAAAAAAAAAAGCTAGAAGACTTAAAAGGAAAAAGCTACCCCATATTAATACCAAACAAATGTGAGGAAATGTTCCTTAACATATATTTTATCTTACATTCATTTAAATGAAAAAATGTACCTGCATTATAAGAGATTTACCTTCTCAACAGGATGATTTCATGATTCCCTAAAATTAGATTCTCTGACCACTCTGCCATTATTAACAACATAGCTGGATGTCATGTCATTTCTCTATCAGGCTTGGTTTCTTACTGGCAAAATGAAAAGATGAGACCAGAGATTCCCTGTGGCTGCTCTGAGCTGTAAAATGCCACGCTCGCCCCTCCAAATGCAATCACAAGCCACAGTTCCATGGTCATAGGAAAGCAAAGGTAAAACAGACAAAAACGATTCCAAAGATGCTGCATAAATAATGACATTAATTATCTTTTTTTTTTTTTTTTTTGAGTTGGAGTCTCACTCTGTCACCCAGACTGGAGTGCAGTGGCCACTCCCGGCCACTGCAGCCTCGACCTGCTGCGCTCTGGCGATCCTTCCTCCTCAGCCTTCCGAGTAGCCGGAATTACAGGCGCGCGCTACCACGCCCGGCTGATTTTTTTATTTATTGCAGAGATGAGGTCTCGCTGCCCAGGCGGGTCTCGAACCCGCGGGCTCAGGCAATCCACTCACCTCAGCCTCCCAAAGGCGCGGGATGACAGGCTGAGCCACCGAGCCCAGCAAATTATCTTTTTAAGTAACCACTTTCCTAATAAAATATTCATTATTTTATTCATTGTTTTATCATAACGATATATAATATCCTGAATAAAATGATACTATTTTATTAATGAATAAAATCCTCATTTTTAAGAATATACTTATTGAAAAACAAGTGCCAGTCCTACGGGTTGATGCACCTCCTCTGCTTTCATTAAGTCCTCGTAGACTTCTCCGCCCTCATCTTCCCCGTAGACACAGTCGTAGAGATCTTCTTCGTCGTCCACACGGGTTTCACTAAAACAGGGGACATGACAAGAGGGTCATTTCCTATCATGCAGTGAATGCAACATCTAGAAAGAGCCTACTGGATTTTAGTAGACATTCCAGACAGGAATAAAACAGAATGAGTGGCAAGAATCAAAAAGCTCACATGACAACCCTGTCCCTCCTCATAGAAAGGATGCCAACAAGGGAATCCAACCTGGGGGGCGGGGCAGCGCCTATTTCCTGGGTAGTTACTATGTGTGGAGAACCCAGCCATCCTCATTCTGCATACAGTAGCTAACTTAATTCATCCAGCATTAATCGTCTTATCAGGAACAAGTTAGTATTTGATTCATTAAAAAGATGAGGAAGTTCAGAGAACAAAGAGTTATGTGACCTGCCAAAGAGGACACAGGTAGCCACTGGCAGAGCCAACACTTAGAGCCAGGCCTGTCTCACACTCTGAGTGTTGTGCCCCATCTATCGTGCTGCCTCTCATTTTTCAGATTTCAAGACCTCAGCTTCATCATCCGTGTTAAAGGGTATAACAGGAAGGGGATAGGAGAGTTCAATAGGATCGAATACATCATAAACAGTCTTTGAAAAACATCAGTTTCTGCAGGGTTATTAACATCTAACCCATGCTGTTTCAAGTCCACTCAGAGGGCACCCACAGGTATCCCTCTACACAGACTTTTATCTGTTCTGTTTGCATTTTGTACGAGGAAAGGGTTCCAAGGTCAGAAGTCACTTTCAAAACCCCTTTAAAATCTTCTGCTGGTCTCCTGGCAGTTGAAAATAACCCCTATTTCTAACGTTTCCACGAGCACTTTACAGTGACTGTTAGGGGTACCTTCCCCAAGCTCCCCAGCGAGACGGTAAACCCATTCAGTCAAGGTGGAACCAGCCTCTTCCACCCACTGCATATGCTGTTACTACTCTACGTTTTTCCTTTCCAGTTCGAGACTTCTTAAAGGCCTTCTATTAACTAAAAATCCCAAAGAATCAAGATGAATCCATTTAGAATGTTGGAAAGAAGCAGTAATACATTTCTGAGAAAGAAATTCAACTTCTTCAACACTGCCAGCCCTTAGCATCCCTCCAGGGCCTGTGCAGACAGAACATTATAAATTGATATGTCCAAAAAGAAAAACACTGTAACTGTAAATGTCATTCTGCAACTTGGAACATTCTTCGAAGTAGGTACAATAACAGGATTGTTTATGTTTGTCACAAAGGATTATTTGAAGGTATTTGACAGGAATGAACTGTCAAACACCCAGAGAAAACGAAGGTGCATTAAGAGAAGGGGAGCTGGTGGTAACAAGTTTCAGAAAATTCTGCTCTGAGAAAAACGCATTCTAGAGTGACTTCCCCACCCATCCATCCACCCATCCACCCAACGTTTGCTAATATCTGAATTCCAGAACCTCTGGTGTTAAAGAATGTATACAGATCAAGAGGACCCAAGAACTCTCCCACAGTCTAGTGTGGGGAGCATAATTCATGCAACCAAAGAGACACGTGCAAAATACAAGAGCAGAGAAAAAAAGCCAGATTAACTCTGACAAAAGAAGTCAGGGAGGGCTTCACCGAAGATACTCCCTCTGAACCAGACATTGAATATATTGATCAACTTATTCAATCTGTTTTTTCTGAAAATATACTACATTCCAGGAGATAGGGCTGCAGATGAGGTAGCCCTCACCTGCACATTTTCTGCTCTCATGAAATTAAAGCCCGACAAAGGGACACACATCGAATAAGGAAAGAAAGCAGATGGCCTAGCCGAAGGACACCAGCATGCGCAGAGGCACGGGGGTGTGAGGAGCTCTAGCACCGCACTTGGTGTGTCCAGGTGAGGGCAGCGGGACCCTCTCAAAGGAAGAATTGAAGCCAAATTGTAAAGGACCACGCACTCTGTGAACTCAACCTTACACTGGGCATCAGGGAATCCATCGGGGGGAGGGGGTCGTCTAGAAAAAGCCAGTCAGGCAGGGACATCCGTGATCCAAGAAGTCACGTGCTGTGGGTGAGCGACACTAAGCGCTGTGACTAGCATAAAGGCAGATGAGAGGAACGAAGGGGCTCAGGAGACTGTCAACCAGATGACTGACCAACCAGAACTAGGGAGAGAGAGGGAAAGAGTACAGCAGGCCCCTCAGCTTTCTACTCTGGAAAACTGGGGACACGGCAAGCCACTGGCAGTTCCGTAACTGCCATACTGAGGGGTCCAGGCAGCAATCCAGCCAAAGAGTGGGGAAGTTAGACTGGTTCCAGCATTTCCTGTAACACATCAAGAGACAGTAAGGTCTGGTGAGTTCATGAGGAAGCTGAGATAAGAAGTTATGAAGAAGAGATTCGAAATTGGAGGGGAATCCTGTTAGGAAGAAAAATAGACTGTGAAGTCTCAGCCCTCCTGCCTCTGATTCCCAACGGTCCTCTCCCCCCAAAAAAATCAATCTTACTGAAGTCCTGCATTTGACTATTTCCCATGAGAGTAAAGGCATGAATTGTAACAATTCATAGACTTTTCTCTATTTTAAAAACTGTAAGAGTGACACTCACAAACACATACACACACACACACACACACACACACACAAGACAGAGCTACAACTTTTGGGGTTTTGGTATTCAATCCTACACTAAGGATTTTTTTTTTTTTTTGAGTTGGAGTCTCACTCTGTTGCCCAGACTGGAGTGCAGTGGCCGCTCCCGGCCACCGCAGCCTCGACCTGCTGGGCTCCGGCGATCCTTCCGCCTCAGCCTTGCGAGTAGCCGGAATTACAGGCATGCGCTACCATGCCCGGCTGATTTTTTGATTTACTGTAGAGATGAGGTCTTGCTGCCCAGGTGGGTCTCGAACCCACGAGCTCAGGCAATCCACTCACCTCACCCTCCCAAAGGCGTGGGATTACAGGCTGAGCCACTGAGCCCGGCTGCTTTTCTTGCTAACAGTTGTTGGTCAAAAATTTCTGATGTCCGAGCCAGGAAAAAAAAAAAACCTGTGATATTCTTCAGATGGTCAACTAATCCACAATAATCTATATTAGCTTTCTTGTGTTAGGGTCACTGTGGGGTATTGTCAGGATATAGACTGTTTCCCCCTGTATCTGGCTTCTTCCTGTCCCCTCCCTCAGGAAGTGGCCTCCGGTCAAGGCCGGTCTCTGAAGGGTGAGTATATTCCCAGTAAGGAGTCATGGGCTACAGGTGACCAAGCAAAGCTGAAAGTAATGTAGTTGTCACTCTTAATTGATGTAATTGTAAATACTGGATAGGAATTTGAATGATTGGTTTGACTGTTTTGATTATAAAACTACTTGTTCTTCTGTCCCAGGTATGGATTCTTTACCAACCTGCCACCATTGGTGCCTTCTGTAAGTTTTTGTTGTTTTGTTTGTTTTATATTGGAAAATACAGTTTATTTAGAAAGTAAATTGGAGAAAGAGAGAGAGATTCACCTCCCCAAGATAGAAAAGGTGGTCAAAGCTAAGAAACATGGCGGCCACAGCTCAGAGAGTCACATAGCCCAACCATAGCTTAGCAAAGCAATGGCCACCTCCCATAAGTTTTCATCAACCAATGTCTTTCCCTGCTGGAACTCTGGGTGACTTCTTTGGAACAGGTAAACATTACACACAAGTCCTCTCGGATTTGGGGTTACTACATTACAGCCATCTATACATGGGCACGTCCAACACCCTAATAAAAGTAGGAGAATCGAGGATGCTGTACAGTGTAGCCATCTCGCACCCTCTCCACTTCATCTTCTGACTTCCTCTCTGACTTCAGAAAGAGTGATTCCCTCTGCAGTGGGGACTAAGCGGGTACTTGTTCTAGGGGCTTCCTTTTTGGTTAACTCACGCCTAAAAGTTAAAGTTGAGTATATGAGTCCACAGACATTGTAACAAAGCTAAATTCAAGCTGTCACAGTAAACTCAAAAGCAAGCATTTCTAGGGAGAGCACCAATTTGGACCTCTGACCACCAAATGGAAAGGTAAGAGAGACTGAATCTCATAGAGTATGAGCTGGCATCTCAAAGCAGCCAATTCAGGGTCCCAAAGTATTCTCCAGACTTAGGAATGCATCCTCACAGGTATTCTCATATCAAGCCTGCCTAAAAGCAGTGAAAAGAACAGGGTGGGAGAGGCTGGAGAAATTAACAGGTGTAAGTGACCACGGCTGGGGGTGAAAAAGAACAAAGTCATCACAGCACTAGAAATAATATATTCTTCCTGATACTTTAAAGAGTCTGATTACATTACCAGTATTCTCACAGTCACTTTATGAAGATTGCAGCCAATTTAATCAGACAATTGGCATCTATCTTGCTTAATGTCAATGAGATCTTGAAAATTTTGGCCAGGCACAGTGGCTCAGGCCAGTAATCTCAACACTTTGGGCGGTGGCAAGAGGATTGCCTGAGCCCAGGAGTTCGAGACCAGCCTCGGCAACTTGGTGAGACCTCATCTCTACAATAAATCAAAAAAATTAGCCGGGTGTGGTAGCACACACCTGTAGTCCCAGCTACTTGAAAGGCTGAGGTAGAAGGATCACCTGAGCACAGGAGGTCAGGGCTGTGGTAGCTGTGAGTGTCTCCAGCCCAGGAGACAGAGTGAGACTGAATCCAAAAAAAAAAGGAAAGAAGAACATTTTACAAAAAGATAATAAATTGTTCTTTTTTTTTTTTTTTAACTTGCAGGGGTCTCACTCTGTCACCCAGACGTAACTGGAGTGCAATGGCATGAACATGGCTCGCCACAACCTTGACCCTCCTCATCTCAGGTGATCCTTCTGCCTCAGCCTCCCAAGGAACTGGGACTATACAGGGCATGCTACCACGCCTGGCTAATTTTTTTATTTTTTATAGAGATGAGGTCTCACTATGTTGCCTAGGCTGGTCTCAAAACTCCTGGGCTCAAGCGATTCTCTCTTCTCAACCTCCCAAAGTGCTGAGATTACAAACATGAGCCACCACACCAAGCCAGAAATTATTCTTAATAGATATTTAAAGCATAAGACTTCGAGGCTGTTCCAAATGCTACCTACTGTGGAAAGAGCCTCTGGCCATCCATCCCTGTGGCTGTAGGTAGTATGCGTGTCCATTGCTCCTATACTGAAAGCTCTCAGAGGGGTGAGTCAGGGCACTTCCTGGAGCCAGTGCAGTGATTAACAGCCTCGACTCCAAAATAAGAGCTGTCTGGGGTCAAATCCAAAGACTATTCACCAATGATATTACCTTTAGCGAGTTACTTAACTTTTCACAATACAGTTTTCTCATTTTCAAATTGTGATGCTGTAGTAATGACCTAATAATAGTTTTGGTATGATGTGAGATAGCTCATATAATAGGGTTAGCACTCAGATGGGTACCCGATAACTCTAATCACTAACCAACTAGATAGCATGGGCCTAAAGCATCATTGCCCGGCAATCCGTAAATGCTTAGTGCAGTTTTGGCTCATTCATTTAGAAAATAAATATTCACTGAGGACCTCCTATACAAAGGGGGACCCCAAAAAACCTGTAATTTATTTGTTAAAAAATTGTGTATTTATTCTTACTTGTTTAAACTTCAGTCACCCTCAAAGTACTCTCCATTTGATACAATACACCCATCAAGATGTTTTTTCCACTGCTCAAATCAGTTTTTGAACTTGTCCATTTTGATACGTTGTTTTGTTTTACCTCTTCCACATCAGCAAACTGTTTCCCTTTGAGGACTTTTTCTTCCGGGAAAACAAACCCCCCAAAAAAGTTGCTTGAGGCAAGATTGGGTGAATAGTGAGGGTGGAGCACAGGGGTCTTGTTGTTTTGGGTCAAAAACTGCTCAGCATGGTGTGGGCAGGTATCTTTTTATGGTGGAAGAACCAGCCACCTGTTTGCCACAACCCAGGTCATTTTTTTCTACAAATCGTGATGCAGCCTTCTCACAACTTCTAGATAAAAACTTTGCTTGACCACTTGATCCAGAGGAACAAATTCTGAGTGTAATACGAGAAGACTACCCTCCAAAAGACAATTCTGACTTTTGGGGGGTCTCACCCTCGTATCTGAGATGCCATTTGAAGTCCGAGGAATTCAGCCATGAACAAGGCAAAGTTTACCTTCTAATAAGGAGACACACAATCAAGGAAGCACACCAAGACTGCCAAGGGCAGCAGTAAATGCCATAAACACTCAGAGCAAGGTGAAGGGGTGGTGGCAATTTTAGAAAGGGTCGTGAGACAGACACCTGAACTGGAAAGTGAAGGATCAAACAAGCAGAAGCAGCTCAGGGGTCAAGATCACAAAGCAAGAATGATCCCAGTGTGCCAGGCAGATGAGGATGGATAAGCCAATGAGGGGATGAATTTCCTTAGGATTTGAATATCTCTTGGAGCAAAATCTATTTCTCATTACAATTCTTTGCAAACGTGTCTGATCTATGTCAGTAGCTCCTTGAGGGGTGAAGACCATGTTTTATATTTATTTATAATCTGCTCAAGGCACTCAACCAGCAGAAGAGAATCAGCTGCTAGGACCTTTTGCCTCTTCTGACTATTACATAATAAGCCCAGAAGGACTTCTGTTCAGAATAAACACCATCTTCTGAAACACCCCTGAATAACTACAACCCTTCCTCATCTCACCCCTCCTTGAACCTATGAAGCCTGTAGTATGTCCCACAACTCCAGGAGCAGATAATATTTACTTTTAATTGTTCCTTTATTAACTAATTCCAGTTTTACCTACTACCGCTATTATGCCTTTGAGAAACTTCCAAATTTTACTTCATTGCCGTATGTTTCTTTGCTCTTTCTAGGGACACACAGCAGAAACTACAGGTCAGGTGAAGTGTGTTTCCTTGTGAAGTTTTCCATCACGATCACCACAGCCTCGACCTGCTGGGCTCCGCGATCCTTCCGCCTCAGCCTTCCAAGTAGCTGGAACTACAGGTGCGCGCTACCATGCCCAGCTAGTTTTTGGTGTTTATTTATTGTAGAGATGAGGTCTCACCAAGAGATGAGGTCTCACCAAGTTGCCCAGGCGGGTCCCGAACCTGCAGGCTCAGGCAATCCACTCACCTCAGTCTCCCAAAGTGCTGGGATTACAGGCTGAGCTACTGAGCCCGGCTTCCATCACCAGTTTAATTCTTATGGGTCATAATCATTAAGCTACTTTTTCCCCCTTATTTTAACATCCATAGTTAAAATCCCATGATATGTTCTCACTCATAAGTGGAACCTGAACATTAATCACAATAGCACAAGGGAGGGATTGGCAGTTGCTTGCTGGGCACTGCGCCAGGGGAGAGGTGTCACCTAACAATCCAAAGGACACCTGGTCCTAAACCAGGGGAAGTGAGGACCAGTTGGAGGCCCAAACTTCATGTGCACATAGATTACTTATGGACCGGTACCTGATTTGTACCCCATATCTTTGTAATAAAATAAAGTACAAAAACAAAAAATAAATAAAATTAAATCCCATGATAGATGCAAAACTGTCAGTGGCTAAATTTTGCTGAAAATGTTCAACGTACTCTATTAAATCAGGAAGGCCTTTGTAGATGTCGTCGTCATTGATGCTTTCTTCTGTTGGGAAGGGCCTAGGAAGAAGGGGAGAGAAATAAATGCGTGAATGAGCGAGCAGTGATCAGGCTGGGCATTGACATCTCACTGAACACTTAAGTTTGCCTGCTGCCAACATGGTCGTATGTCACCATGTTTAACTATGTCTGGGGCTTCCTCCAAATTGCTTGCCCAGTGGCTGTGTCTGGGGTTCCCCCAGGAAAGCGGCAACACCTGCTACCCCAAATCACCTGAAGCAGTGACAGCTGGTCACCATAGTCACGTGTGCAGTAGGGACACATGAACATGCTTGTGTGATCTCCCACCTACTACATACCTGCAGGGTCACCTCACCCATAACCATGCCCCCAACTCGGAGAACAAGAGGCCGTGTGAGTGCCCAGGCCTTCCACACCCTCTCTCTGCAGCTATGGGATCCGATGACAAATAATTTGGTAGTGATCATCCTTCTGTGACTCAGTTTACTAGTAAAGATGAACATTATTAGAAGACAGAATTTTGTGTCCTTGATTTATGATTTTTGACCCTGACAAACTTTTGTACTCAGACTTCAAGGTGTATAAATGGCTTTCTAAAAATTTGTTTGGACAACTGAGTCAACCAGACCTCAGGGAGAAGAGGATGTTTTCTTTGTTCCCTGTTCAAGAAAATCACACTTAAATCTATCCACAGTTTAATTGTTTGGCTTCCATGTTTGCAACATGATACCATGTGCTTTTTTAGAACAATATAACGCCCTAAATATATGCCTAACAAAATCACAGTGATTATACTACAGTGCCAAAAGTATTACTTTCTTTTCAGACAGGCAGCATGGCATGTTTCATAAAAACAAGAGGAGTCATCAAAATGGTAAGCTTTAAATAATTAGTAACTAGATACATTGAAAAGCAGAGTTTCACACTGGCTAACGGATTAATTTCATAGTTAAGATATTTGAGGAATCTACATTTTTTAAATAAATCAACATATCTGATAAATATAAAGTTTCAAAATCATTTTTTATAAATGTAAGTACATTTTATTGTGCTTTTATACCAATACAAGTCCACTGTAGAAAAATTGGAAAATATAGATAAGGAAAATTAGCAATAATCACTTCTCAGCCTTTAGGGTCAAAATCAAATGTAGAAAATTAAAAGTATATTTAAAAAATTCCTGACATAACTTTTCAGAATAAAAGACATACAAATTCGATCAACTTTTTCAAAATTTTTGCTGTTTAGAGCTGAGCACGGTTGCTCACATCTATAACCCCAGCACTTTGGGAGGCCGAGGAGGGAGAACTACTTGAGCCCAGGAGTTCAAGACCAAACTGAGTAACATAGCAAGACCTTATCTCTACAAAAAATAAAAAATATAAGCCATGCGTGGCGACGTGCACCTGTAGTCCTAACTACCTGGGAGGCTGAGACAAAAGGATCATCTAAGCCTAGGAGTTCAAGGCTGTGAGGAGCCACAGCACTCCAGCCTGGATGAGAGTGAGACTTTCACTCCAAAAAACAAAAAATCTGCTATTTACATATAACATAAAATATAGATTTACATGAAAAGACATGCATGTATTTCAGAGGAAATCAGGAGGAAATGAACACCAGTACAGCCTCCAGACCATCACTGCCTCATGGCTCACTTCTGAGAAGAGTTAGCATCAGCAGGGCATCCTCCCTGCGGTCGCCATGCCATGTGCACAGGGTCAGGGCTGCTTGGCCAGTGCTGAGCCCCCCATGAGACCTGCTCTCCCTAAGAACTTGCATGTAGGCTAAGCACAGAGTTCATGAAGGCAACAGAGGCAGAGACACAGGCGCAGGGCACTTCCTGTGGTTGGAGACAAGAGCTCGGAGCCCCGAGGAGGAAGGTAAAAAACAAAACCCCGCCTTTGGGAGGCTAAGGTGAATGGATTGCCTGAGCCTGGGGGTTCAAGACCCGCCTGGGCAACTTGGCGAGACTTCATCTCTACAATAAATCAAAATATCAGCCGGGTGTGGTAGCGCATGCCTGTAATTCCGGCTACTCGGAAGGCTGAAGCGGAAGGATCGCTGGAGCCCAGCAGTTCGAGGCTGCGGTGGCCGGGAGCAGCCACTGCACTCCAGTCTGGGCGACAGAGTGAGACTCCAACTCAAAAAAAACACAAAAAAACCCATGCCGTCTCCCGGGGCCTGCTGTGGCTACTGGGATTGTTGGTTTTTGCTTTTGAATCTCCTAATGTTACTTACAGCACATTATTATCAACGGCTCTAACTTAAGTATTAGGGTGAGGTAATACATTTACTTTGTACAGTCTATAGGAAATAAATGTATTACAAAATGGGCACATTTTGTTTGGTTACTGTTTTACAAAGCAGCTTGAAGACAGGCACTACGACTCAGGCATGAAGAGTACCTGGTAGGTAAGTGCCAGGTACACATTTGAAAGTCATTGGGCAAGTTAGAATTCATTCATAGAGCTGAATAAGACACATTGGCTGAACCTTGTACTCAATTCACCAACGACTGTCATTGATATATAGACATCTGGCTAACAAGTGGTAAGGTGAGGCAGGTTTGGATGCCCATGTTCTGCCTCCAGAACCCATCCACACGCCACACCGCTTTGCTGTATAGCCGTGCTGTCCAGAAGAACTTTCTGTGACGATAGAAATTATTAGGGTGATGCATAAGCTCACAGTATTTGTTCTGGCGTGGCAACACTACGGTGTTGGGTTTGTTGATCATCTGTCATTTGGAATGACAATGTTGTGCTTGTGACCATACCTTGCATTGTGAAGATTTGAAGAAAGTGAGTGCTGTTTGGGGGTTAAATAAGATGGAGCATCAAGTGGAAAAAACAAACACTTTGACATCTTCTTCTCTCTGAGTTTAGCAGAGTCAAGGCAGCGGAGGCGGCTTGAAATATCTGTGCCATGTCCAGGGAGAAGGTCATCGAGGACAGCACCGCAAGAGAATAGTGATGTCATTTCAAAGAGGCCACTTCGACCTGAGGGATTCTTCACGTTCAGGAAGATCCTCAGGCTTTGATGAGGACCGTTCAAACACTTTAACCCACCATGACCCCCATCAGTCAACCCGAGAACTGGCAAATGTGATGACCTGTGACTTGTCAACCATTGTGTGACATTTGCATTCTACTGGCAAGCCAAAAACGCCACCAACTTAAGCATCAACTCAATAGTATCAAACCAAAAAAAACCAACACAACTTGCACATCTAAGTCTGCTGTTTACACAATGCCTTCAAGACACATCCTTGAACACACATTTTTAAATACTTGACTGCCTATTTCTTAAACTCCTAAAAGTTGTGAGCTATTTTTATAGTCTATAGGAGACAATGTATTACAAAATCTGTAAAAATATGTATTTACTTAAGTATTTGTGTTTGTCTTAATGAATCACACGGACAGAAATGTTGGAGGACATTAAGTCTATATAGCCATATATTCATTTTATATATATATATATATCCATGACAGTCACTGGTGAACTGAGTACAAGGTTCAGCCAATGTGTCTTATTCCGTTCTGTGACTAAGTTCGAACTTGCCCAGTTACTTTCAAATGTGTATCCAGCACTTACATACCAGGTACTCTTCATGAGTGAGAAATGGTGTTTGTATTTAAGCTGCTTTGTAAATAGTAAACAATAAATAACTCAATAAATAATCATTACATTGAATGGAATGGGACACATGAACCACAAAGAAACGCGCTTACCTGATTCCTGTGGCCAATGCTATAGGTGTGCGAGAAAGTCGTGATAATGTTTCTATAACCTGAGAAAAGAGGAAAATGTTCATTGGACATGTAATTCAGAAAACATATGTTTTCCCCACACACAGTAGTCTTCCAGTCCGATATTAGCCATAGCAGCAAAAATGTAAATTTGCAGATGCCAAAGAGGTGCAGCACAGGAAGAGCTGCGATTGAGAACTAAAAATGTCTGGATTACGGTTTTGTTCCTTTCTTTAGCTTTTGGACTTTGAGCAGATTACTAACCTCTCTGAGTTGCCATTTCCTTATCAGGAAACACGAAGTTAGCCTGGTGACCAAACCCACACATCTGGCATTCCAAATTCTACAGTATCTGAAGGGTCCTGGGAAGCTGCATTGTCCAGGGCAGAACACACTCTCCTCGCGAGGCTATTTAAATTCATCTACTAGTGGGGTGTGGGGGAGGGGATACAACATCAGTAAGGATACCTGATCTCAAACCAGGCAAAGTCGGGACCAAAGGGAGGCCCAAACTTTACCTGTACGATGCCCACTTGTATACCTAATCCTGAACTGTACCCCACATCTTTAAAATAAAATATTTTTCTAAAATAAATTCATTTAAATCTTAAAAACAAAAAGCCCAGTCCCTCCATTGCACTAGCTGCATGTTAAGTGCTCACCCACACTTAACCACATGTGGCTGCTGTACTGGATGACACAGATGTCAAACATGTCTGTCATCACAGAAAGATCTATTGGACAGCACCACTGTACAGCAAAGTGGTACAGAGTGTGGGTGAGCTCTGGAGACAGAAGACAGGTGTTCAAACCTGACCTTACACTTGTTAGCTAGGTAACTTTGGGCAAACTACTTAACTTCTTTGGGCTTTAGTCTCTTCCTCCAGATAATGTCTCTAATCATAGTTGGATTATTCATAATCATCGCATTGTGTGAGAATTACATAAGATGATAAGTACGATATTTATTTATTTTTGTGAGTTGGAGTCTTACTCTGTCACCCAGGCTGGAAGGCAGTGGCACACTCACAGCCACCGCAGACTTGACCTGGTGGGCTCAGGCGAGTCTTTCGCCTCAGCCTTCCAAGTAGCTGGACCTATAGATGCACACCACCACACCCAGCTAATTTTTTGATTTATTGTAGAGAAGAGGTCTCGCTAAGTTGCCCAGGCTGGTCTTGAACCCGTGGGTTCAGGCAATCCTCTCATCTCAGCCTCCCAAAGTGCTGGGATTATAGGCATGGCCACCGCACCAGGCCTGGTAAGTACAATATTTAAAGAGTAGCTCTTCTTTGGTCATATCAAAAAACAATAGATATTGACGCAGATGAGATGAAAAGGAAATGCTTATACCCTTTGGTGAGAGTATCAAGTAGTTCAACCTCTACGGACAGCAGTATGGAGATTACTCAGAACTAAAAATAGATCTGTCATTCAATCCCACAATCCCACCACTTGGTATCTACCCAAGGGAATACAGGTCATTATACAAAAAAGACACTGGCACTCGTATATTCATCACAGCACAATTCACAATTGCAAAGGCATAGAATCATACTAAATGCTCATCAGCTGATCAGCAAATAATGAAAATGTGGTATATACACATACACACACACACACACACATACACACACACACACACACACACACGAGACACACACACCATGGAATACTATCCAACCATGAAAAGGAATGAAATAATGTCTTTTGCAACAACTTGAATAGAATTGGAGACCGTCATCCTAAGACGAGTAACACAGGAACGGAAAACCAAATGCCACCTGTTCTCTATCCTGAGGATCTGCAAAGTCATATAGAGTGGCCTGATGGACACTGAAAACTTAGAAAGGGGAGGGCAAGAAGGTAGCAATGAAAAATCCCCCATCGGGTACCAGGCGCACAGGTGAGGGTGGACGGTCCACTTGCAGCCCAGATTTCTTTGCCGCTAGACAATGCAGCCACGAAACCAAAACTCATGTGTACCCTCTAAAGCCATTGAAACAGATAATAAATAAATGGTAGCTATTCTTTATCATTGTCAACTTTAAGGAAATGGCCTTATGCTAATTCTGAGTGTTTTCAGGAAAAGAGTTTCTGAAATGACCCCTGATTATCTGTTTCAAAGATTCCTTAAGAAGATTCCTTAAGCAGATCTAAACCCAAATGTGCCCTGCTATAGTTTGAGCATCCACATCTAGACATTTTACTTTTTCTTCTATCTTCTGTCCTAGGATCATCCCTTTCAAAGACTCAGGGAGGAAGCCACTGACCTAAAATATATTTTTCTCATAAAGTCTGTTTTCATGATAATAGTTATAATTTGTCCTAACTCTCAAAAAAAATAAACTACACTAAACTTTAAAAAGTTCTACTATAAGAACTATTAAAAATGAGAGGAAAAAAAGGAGACAAGGCAAAAATCTACGTCTTAATCCACGTAATATTCTAATTACTTCCAGACAGAAACAGAAAAGCAAAGTCTCCAGTTTTCTGTAGAAGCCTCATAAGAGTATTAGCCACACATAGATGTGCCTCCCACCTACTTCAGGGGATAGGACAGTATATATTGTTGTAGTTGGAAACTCAGGGTTCTGGAGTAAGACTCACTGGGGCCCTGACTCCCCAGTTTTCACCTGCGCTCACTTTGACTCGTCTCTGTAAAATGTAGATAATTGCAGCTAACTGCCTCATGGGGTTAGTGAAAGAATTTAATGAGAATTAAATAAAGAATTTTTAAATGTAAAAAAAACTAAATAAAGGATTACATTAAATGAGCCCATCACATGCTTAACTCAGAAAGTATGAACTTTGTTATTAGATAAAATAAAGTTATTATACAAAAATAAAATTGAATCAAATTACATGGTGACTGTAGTTAGTTAATAATGTACTGTATTCTTGAAAACTACAACGAGAGCAGATTTTAACTGTTCTCACCCCAAAAACATACAAAGTATGTGAGATAATGTACATGTCAACTGGCTTCAGCAGGCCATTCCACAATGTACACATATTCCAAAACAACAATTTGCACGGGATAAGTGAATACAATTTTTGTCCATTTAAAAAGGTAAATTTAAAAATTATTAAGTTTTATAACAAAAAAGAGAAGGAAACTTCTTATGGTGACCAGATAAGCTAAATTGCTGACCCAAAATTCTGTATTGTAACTCTCGCCTCCTGCTGTGACCCGGGGGGAGAAGAAAAGAAAAAAAAGTTCAGTTGAAAACCTGTATGCAATTTATTCTTGGTTAACTATGTTGAACTATGTTGAACTATGATCTGATGTCAAAGCATACACAACGACTCAAATAAAACTTGATATCAGTTCACTGCCCATAATAAAGATAAGCCTCTTCAGGGAGTTCATACGTTCAGAAGATCACAAATGAGAAAATACTAACAAGCGTACCAGACTAAACTCATTCATAATAAAAATAAACCCTTGCGAAAATTTCAAAATTATGTAATCCTGAGTGAAAAGTCTACTTTGGGGAGGTTCTGGGTAACCAGCTTAATAGTTAGGCCCTTGAGTTAACCCTAGTGTTTAACCTTTGCTTGCACCTGACCCTGATGTAGCACTGTTATGGAGCTACGAGTGAAATCAGGCTCCAGTTCTAGTTTACACTGTGGTCCCAGCATTGTCACTACTTAAGAACAAGAATAGTAGAACTATTGCTACGTGTTCTATTATTGCTATTCTATTATATGTTTACAATGCATTTTATTCCTTGGGGTATTTTTGGTAATAATGACTAGGCAACTACAAAATAAGAGTGTGTATTTTGTTTCTTTTCCCCAACAAAGAGAACAACTTCACCCTCTGACCGCCTCCTCTTCCAGCAGAAAACCATAGCTTGATTTTTTTTTTTTTTATACAAGTGACCACCGGAGGGAGCCAGATGATAGTCTATTAGCTTAGCCCTGCCTAGACTGTATTTATAAGCACAAACTTTTGAAAATCATGCTGAGACCAACTCATTTTCTTTAACAAGGGTTATTTATTACTACTCAGGAATAGAAAAATAACAAAGAACAACTTCAGTGGATGAGGGGGTTGGAAAGATGGCATGTCATATATCTCAAAGTGAGTATGAGTTTGGTGTCTTGTACGTTGAGTTCATCCATCCATCAACTCTAAGTTTAGCCAAAGCAAATAAGCACTGTTTGGTCCACGGGGTGTTTTCAGAACAATGTGTATTCTATAAAGGCGGAGGGTATCCGGATTTGGAAACACACAAGTACACAAACTCATGCCAGATTCTTGAGTTCTCTGCGTGGAAATTCTGACCTGCGATTAGAAACATCCACCCAGGAACATCCCCCAAAGACACTAAGAAAACTATTTTCCCTGTCACGCACTAATTTCCAAATTGTTACCTCAAAATAATATACAAGTTTGAGGTTCCTGAACATGAACTCTCAGAAAGGGAGGTAAGGACTAAGAAAATTTGCAAGTTAACTAGCCAGCAATCAACTACACAAAATCCACATCACGAATTTCTCTCTTCACCTATGTCCATCCCTTGATGGGTAAGAAGAGTGGTTTTTGTAAAGAAATGAAAATAATTTTTGATTATTTTCATGGCTCACTGAAACCTCAATCTCCTGGGTTCCCACAATCCTTCTACCTCAACCTCCCTAAAAGCTGGGACTACAGGTATGCACCACCATGCTTATTTCTTTTTTTCATTTTTGTAGAGATGAAGTCTCACTGGGTTGCCCAGGCTGATCTCAAACTCCTGGACTCAAGCAATCCTCCCACCTTGGCCTCCCAAAGCACCAGGATCTCAGGCATGAGCCACTGCACCCAGCCAAAACTGCATTTTTAAAAGGTATCTCAGTAAAGCGAAGGGTAGACAGGGGTGGAGGAATGTGGGGTACAGACAAGGAGCCAGGAGACCAACTCAGGGGTCTTTCCCACCATCCGAGTGAGAAGCAAGGAGGCTGAGCCAAAACAGCGGCAGGGGAGACCAACAGGAAGTGGAAATGCTGGGAGTCTCTCGGAAGAGAGGCTGGTGCTCTGTGAAGGCTGAAAGAGGAAAGCCAGCCAGGATGACCCGGGCAAGCTATAAAGCCCTGGAGGGCCGGGCCCCGAGGCCGCCTACCCAGAAAACCTTGGGCAGGCACACAGGCGGGAAGTTCTTGCTCTGTGTGACCCTCTACACGGGGACATGCATGCCCCGAACCCAGAGAGGCCAGCCTCCTCCTCCAGGGAGCCTTCTCCCACTGTCTCCATTCCCAGGCTGTGTCCCCAGAGGACCCTGGACATGATTCTGCCCTCGCACCTAGCATCTTATTTACAATAAAAACGTATTGGCTTTTAGAAATAATTTAAAAACAACTCCTGTTTATTCTGTCCAATTGAAACAACAAAACAAAAGATTCCCACCCCTCCCATTTTCTGCCTAACCGGATGGCAACTATGAATCTGGTGAGACTGGCAGAATTGTTCTTTTTTTCCTTTGTTTTATTATTATCAAGTAATGTGTTCTTATGATACAGACTTTTCTACAGTGTGTTTTTGTCACCAACGTCACATCAGTACATGTAAGACTGGATGCAGTGGCTCAGGCCTGCAATCCCTGCACTTTGGGAGGTTGAGGTGGGAGGACTGCCTGAGCCCAGGAGTTTGAGAGCAGCCTGGGCAACATAGCGAGACCTCAAAAAAATCAAAAAATCAAAAAAATAGCCAGGTGATGTGGCATGAGCCTGGTACCAGCTACTTGGGAGGCTAAGGCAGAAGGATTGCTTGAGCCCAGGAAACCGAGGCTGTGGCAGGCCTTGATCATGCCACTGCACTCCAGTCTGGGGGCAGAGTGAGACTCCAACTCAAAAAAAAAAAAAAAAAAAAAAAATTATAGATCTATTTTGTTCATTTTGCTGTACAACATTCCAGTGTATATAAATAACAATGATTCAGCCATTCTCTTGCTAATGAGCTTTTTCATTGCAAAACCTGCAATTACCATCCTCACCACCTAGCTTTTCAAGTGTGCACAGGTGTTCCTGTGTGGAAGATTCTTCAATGGGGTGCACTAGGATGAAAGGCATGGCCATCTATATGGACATATAACAAGGCATTCTAGGGATCTGTTGGTCTTTCCCATCTGGCCATGGAAAATGCCTGAAGGGCAGGGAAATCCAGCTGTTTCTTCTTGGTTGTATTCTCATCACCCAGGTCACAGCCGGGCTCATGACAACCACTTAACACAAAAGCAGTCGTTGCTCAAGCAAATGAATGCATAATCCTGACCTTGCAAAATCGTTGTGAGGATTGGAGATGATGTCTCGAGATATGTAAAGGGCTGGGCCAGGCCCAAGTGGGGAAGGGATGAATAATTGAAGAAGAGCCCATTATGAAAATTGAATATTAAGCAGGACAGAGAGTTGCCTGTCTCCTCAAACCTAGCGCCCACATGCATCCTGCCCCTTCCCCCATCGATCACGCCCCCCAGTGAGGACTTTTATTGTGTTTTGTTTGTGCTCTTAGTTTTTAATCATCTTGCTCGTTAGTTTAAAAACCACAAAATAAAACAGCTTCAACAATAGAATGGAGATATTGGACACAGACAGAGCAACCCGTTTTTAACGATTCTCTTTGTGAGCTTTTCTGGTGAATTCCCACTCTTGGCTTATCTGGCACATGAGTGCTGTTGATATTGTAATTTGTAACTAAAACAAGTCGTCCATGCAGAAACAGTATGATACAGCTACTTCTAAGGTCCTGAGTTAAGGAAGCCACAGTTGAAAGAATAATGGGGAAGAAGCCATGGAGACCAGCATGCAGGTCTGCCAAAAAGTTGATAATTAATTATGGATTTATCTCCTTGAGTTCTCTATTTAGAAGTTTTAGCTCTTTTCTCACCCTGTGACCCAATGAGAAGGCTACTATTAAGTTTTTTATTTAAGTCAAGGTCTCACTCAATCACCCAGGTTGGAATGCAGTGGCATAATCACGGCTCTCCGCAGCTTTGATTTCCCGGGCTCAGCTGATCCTTCTGCCTCAGCCTCCCAAGTAGCTGGGACTACAGGAGCACACCACCACACCCAGCTAATCGTTTGATTTTTCATAGCGATGAGGTCTTGCTATGTTGCCCAGGCTGGTCTCGAACTCTTGAGCTCAAGCAATCCTCTCACCTAATCACCCTTGCAGTGTGATTACCGGCGTTGAGCTGGGATTACAGGCGTTGAGCCACCATGCCTGGCCTATTATTAGGAGTCTTGAACAAGAAGCTAGCTTCAGTAGTTCCTGGGGAAGTGATGCTTACAGGGGGGCAGGCCCTGCAAGGGTGATTAGGCAGCTGAGCCTTGAGCTCCGAGTGCAAGACTAGCTTGGTGGTGGGAGAAGGGGCCCAGCAGCATGGTGGTCCCCATCCCCCATCCCGTGTGAAGTTGATAAGCGGCTCAAGTCAAGGATGCCACAGCCTGATTCCTGTGGGCTCAGAGCAAGTGCCCCGTGGGGCTGGAAGAAAAGCCCAGGGGAGTGTGGGCCTGAGCATGCCGAACAGCGAAGCTCAGACAGAAGCATCGCCTGTAGACCTGGTGGGCTGCAACCCAGCGGTGGCCCAGAGACCCCGTAGGACCTAGGCATCCCCAACACCAGAGTCTCCGATGATAAGGCCTCATGTTGTTAAACCAGACCAGATGGTGAGTTCCAGATGAACAATGTATTGCACCTTAATTCTCCTAGGAAATCAACAGGACTCGTTATCTTAATCTTCTTGGCAACTCTAATTTCACACAGTAAATTACCCCATTAGGACACACTGCCAGTTAGTGTCACTTCCAGCAACACATCTTAGAGATTTCCTAAAGCACCTGTTCGTTGTTTTGGTCCATGGCATGATAGTGAAAAGCATCCCTGGTACCTCCGCAAAACAGTACCACTAGATAAGGTCAACAACACACTCTGTATCAAGGAGCTTATGAGCCATGAGAAATGAATTTCCATTGTTCAGAAAAGCAGGAGATTCAGTGAGTCCAAAAATACAGTTTGGGCTGGCCTTGAATAGGAACATAAATACAAGAAGTATTCTAGACTTATGATTTTTTGAATCTTCAAAAGTGAAACTATACAAGAACTTCCCTTTAGGAAAGCCACATGTTGGACCGGTTAGTAGTGCAGGCTTGAGAGTCAGTTTCTCTGAGTTCAAATCCCAGTGCCACCTCTCACTCGCTGGGAGAGCACAAGAGTTAAGTAGACATCCTGTGCCCTAGTTCCCTTAACTATGGAATCACAATAAAAACATTTCCTAGCACACAAGTTCACAGTGAAGTTTAAAGAAGGTCATACATACGCACACAGAAGAGTGTTTTGCATGTCAATCTTTCTTTCTTTTTAATTTTAGGTTTGGGGGTACACATGTGTGTTTGTTACATGGACATATTGTGTAGTGGTGGGGACTGGGTTTCGGGCAGCCCATTCATCAGAAAATGAATACTGTGCCCCACATGTAACTTCTGAACCTTATCCTCCTTCCCCCACTCCCTCATTGGTATCCCCAGTGTCTGTTACTTCCATCTTTGTCACCATTTAGCTCCCATATATGAGTGAGAACATGCAGTGTTTGCCTTTCTGCTTCTGAGTCAGTTCATTCAGGATAATGATCTCCACCTCCATCCATGTTGCTGCAAAGGACATGATTTTGTTCTTTTTTACGGCTGCGTAGCATTCCAGGGTGTATCTATACTTCTATTTCCGAATGTTATTATCGGCACCTCTGTTGTCATCTCAGTAAAGTAAGATATTGCCTTTGCAAAGTGCTTCAGAAAACCAAATATGAGGTCTGCGACACACAGCATTAAATGAGTTCACAGAGGGGATGCCAGGTAGGGAAGAGCTCACAGAAGCTGCCCCTCACTGCCCCAAATAAACATGAAATCTACAGAACTAGAGTATGTTTGCCATTTAATTGCAATTTCAAGTCAAGTCCTTTAGCGGAATCCCTATACCCATTTACATAGCCAATCCTCCAATTTTAGTGCAGAAATTCCGGAGAGGACATATTTTATTCAGTTATTAATTATTTTAAGTTCCAGATCCCTTTGAGAGTATGATGGAGGCTCTGGGTCATTTCCTCCACTAAAAAAAAAAAATCTGCCGAACATAGTGACTCATGCCTATATTCCAGCATTTGGGAGGCCAAGGTGGAAGGACTGCTTGAGCCCAGAAGTTTGAGACCAGCCTGGGCAACATAGTAAGACCTCATCTCTACAAAAAAATTAGCTGGGTTTGGTGGTGCACACCTATAGTCCCAGTTTCTGGGGAGGTTAAGGCAAGAGGATCACCTGAGCCCAGGAGATAGAGGTTGCAGCAAGCCATGATTGTGCCCCATGCGTTCCAGCCTGGGTTACAAAAAATATAATAACCATCTACCTACACACACACACACACACACGTCTAAATCTTATCTCAAGAAATCCAAGGACCTCTTGAAGCCCATTCATAGATTTCTCAGATTCCAACTCAATCTCTTCCCTTGTCTATTAGAAAATCAAAATCCAAAAAAGCTACCTTACCACAAGGTCAAAGAACTGACAGTAGCAGAGGTGGTACCAGAACCCAGGTCTCTTGTCTTCTTCCCACTTCTCAACCTTCCTATCCATTTTTTGCATTTTCCCAGGGATCATCGACTGAACAACACCGGCTCTGGGCTAGTACACGAGACTCGCTCCGAAAGCTGTGGGAGGCAAAATAATGGTGCCAAGCTTCCGGCTCTCAAAAAGACCCTCAGTCTGTTAGGGAAGATCACTGGGAGGAGGGCGGGAAGTGAAAACACAGACGAGTATGCCCAGGGACATCATAAGCCCAGGAGAGCAAGGCTAGCTGGGGGACAGAAAAAGCCAGAGGGTCAGAGGTGTCTTTAGAAGAAGTGACCCTGTGTGGCATCTTGAAGGGAGCCATTTGTCTTCAGGTTAATACAAGCTAGATGGGTAAGAATTGCCACCCTCTGGTCCACCCCTCCCGTTGTCCCATCACATGCCACTGAGAGCACGTGACTATCCTAAGCAGCTGCAACTATATTCTGTAGTTGCTATTTCCTAGATGGTATATACCTCTGATTTGGTAAACAGTAAATATTATTCAGGTTCTGAAAGAAGCAAATTTTTTCTAAATCAAACAGACCTGCACTTGTCTCATGAGGCATCTCCCCATCACTGGGGTCCTGCTCTCTCTGCCTTCTTGACCTCTGAGATCCCACATGGAGCACCTTTTCCTCCTAACCTGCATCTCCTCCCTGTTCCCATTGACCTCACAATGCCACTCCTCTCCCTCACCTGGCTAGAGGCCAGGGAAATGTTCTAGACTTGAGTCCCAGACCTAAATCCTATCAATATACATGATGGAATATTATGCAGCCATAAAGAAGGACAGAATTACAGACGTCACAGCAACTTGGATGGATTGACAGTCTATCATACTCAGTGGTCTGTCACAGAAACAAAGAACTGACCACATGTTCTCACTCATAAGGGGTCCTGAACACTCATCACAACACTACAAGCAAAGGATTGGCAGAGGAGGGGCACAGCCATGGGGGAAGGGGCACATAACATCACTAAGCCCAAACTTTACCCGTCTGTGGACCATTTATGTACCTAACACTGACTTGTACCCACATCTTTAAAATAAAATGAAGAAAAAAATCCGCCCTTTTAAGTATCTCTCAGATCCAGTCCCTTCTCTCTCCCTGTCCCTCAGCCATGGTCTAGGCCTGCTCTATTTCTTGACTCTATTGCTGGAAGAGCATCCAGTGTGTCCCTGGATTTTCACTCCCTTTAAATTCATCCCCTGCTTGGCTACCATAGAGGCTGTATGACATTTCAAAATTACCAGTCTGTTCATACCACCAATGTTCACCAAGCCCACCTTAAAATTCTTCAGAGTCACACCTCATGCAAAGAGTCCCAATCCCTCAAGAATCCTCATGAGCTGCTCCCATGCCCCCTTCCAGCCTCACTCTGCCTTCTCTCCCCATGTTTGGTAATATCCAACCACTCTGCCTGCTGTGCTCCAGACAGACCCAGAATCACACACACGAGGTCTAACAACTAGAGTAGCGAACCATCCTAGAAAAAGTGCTCCATACCTCCTTGCTGAATATCACTATGGTCACCTTAGAAGGACTCCCCTCGGAAAGCTACGCACCAATGCCAGAATCCAGTCTAGTCGTCAAAGTTTCGGAACTCTTTTTTCTGGAGTGGCCATCCGAGCTGTTGTTGTTATTTGTTGAGGTCTGACCCTGAAGTTCATGCACTTGCCACTGTGCGCTGATGTTGGCAGCACTGTACAACTAACAGTATTGGAACACCCTCCCTACTCACCAGGTCTGGCCCCCAATGGCTTTTTTCTTTACCCAAAGATAAGGGAAATATTGAGAGGAAGACATCTGATGACATTCAGGACATCAAGGGTCATGCAATGACGGCTCAGATGGCCGGCCATTCCAGAGAAAGAGATCCAAAATTGCTGTGACGGGTAGACTAGGCTCTGGCATCCGTGTGTAGCTTCCCGAGGAGAGTCTTTCGAAGGTGACCGTAGTGATATTCAGCATGAGGGATGGAGCATTTTTTCTAGGATGAGTTCACGTGCTTAATTGTTGGACCTCGTAAAAATTCTGGCAAAGCATAAAATGGGCATTACTATCACTGACAGAGGCAGTTTCACAAGTAAAACTCTCATCCTAAAGAACAGGTGAGAAAAAACCAAGCTGTGACCAGCAGTGCTAATTTCCTCACACCAAGTGAAAGATAGTTAGAAACTTTTCCCATAAAATGTTTCACCCTCTCCCTGGTCTGTATACCAAAGCAGAGCTGCCTGCAAGCACCATTTTCTAGTCAGAAATAGTCCCTGCTCCCTCTAAATGCAGACTGGTCTGTTGGAGTGTATTGAGCTACTTAATAGGTACATGACAAAGAATCTGTTTGGTCACTACTGCAAAAGAAACACTTTAGTTTTGAAAGTGAAATCATACTTGCAAATCATTCCCTGCCTTGAAGTAGAAAGTAGAGAGACAGGCTTCCAAGATTCTGTGCCAGCTTTAATATGTCCAGTGTCAAGAATCTAATCACAGACCCTGTAGGCAAACACTGATCCCTCACCATACCATGACAGTCGCCACTCCAGCAGCACAGGTGAAGTCATAGCAGCCAGTGTAGCCACCAGCTCCCGGGAAGCCACTATAACTTTCACATGAACCCACTTTGCACAGACACGTCCTACGTGTTCGTGTCAGGCCAGAGGAGAGGTTGTTTACGTGATCTGAAATCTCCTGGGAGAGTTCTGTAGGATTGAGGCTTGAGTTGGAAAAATTAATGAATGTTCAAAGCTGCCCCACAAATCGCACAGCTGGGGCAAAGTCAACACATTTTCCATACTCAAGCTCACTTTCAAAGTCACACAACTCGCTGTCCAAGATCGCTGCTTCCTGAAGATACCGCCCATAGCTATCACCACTTTAAAGGATGCAATGCAGAGAGTGCCAGAAAGAAAAGACAATGCCAGAAAGACAGAGTCTCCCAGTGGTAGAGACGATCACGGCACTGATGACCAGCCTGAAGATGTCTCAACCTCAGCCCTAGCCCCAGGACTCCTCACAGAGAATAAATAATAAAGCATCCGCAAG